CTGGTTGTTCCTGAAGCTGCTGGTCATGAATGAGTAGATGAAAGTTTTCCTTACTCACTTTCTCTGGTATAGGGGCCTCTGGGGTGCCCAGTGCCCAAGGCTTTAATTATTGGTTAATTGACTTGTAATGGCTTGTCCAAGCCTGGATCTCACTGGGAACAACTGCAGACACGTCTTGCTTCCAAGATTCCCTGGTGGTAATAACTCTAATCTAAAACAGCTCCCTTTCCCCAGTCAAAGGAGCAAGCAAACTTACTGATACAAATCAGGAAGAGTTTTCTTAAACTTTGCCCTCATAAAACTAACAGAAAAGTGACTACTCTAAAATTGTGGGTGAGGCAGCCTGACAAAAGGAACTGGGACTTATACAGTTCCAGGACAGTTGCCATCAAAGGGTCATTGAACCCATGGATAGAGAATTCATGGATACAGAGGACCAACTATATCTTTTTGCCTAGTAGTCAGTGCTCTTTAGTTTTTACCTATTTTGGATCCCCAGATGTTGTTGAATGACAACTCTCGTCACTTTTTATTGTCTGCCACACGTACTGAGGACAGTGGGAATTGCAACCCAACAGCACTTGTGGCTCAGAGGTTGAGGCAAGGTTAGAGGTCAGACATATCCACAAGCCTTGTATCTAAATGCAAACACCACTGAGGCCTTCCAGATGTTACCGTATCACAACTCCCATCAGCTCTAGCCAAGATGTATAATATGTATAATGATGAGGAATACAGGAATTTTACTCCAGCATCTGGAAAGCTACATAAAATGATATAATGAGCCAGATTCTGCCTAAGGGTATTGAGTTTGACATGTTTTTAAAATAGAAAATGCACATGTATGGTGATAGTTGTTTGTATTTAGAAGCTTTGTGTTCCTTTCACTGTAAATTGTTCACATATATTGAAGCACTGTCCTGAAAAAACAAGCTAGAAAAATCAGGCAAAACACAAACACTTTAATTTTTTTTTTACAAAATTTGCTTTTGTTTGCAACTAAAACAGGTGTTTCTGTTATGATAATTACATTTTTTAAAATTTAGTATGCAGATTGCACTTGTTCAGCAAGGTTTCCTATCACCTTTGTGACAACAACCAATTGTCTATGATCCACCACAGAGATTAAGATCTCCTGGGGAGGCCCTGCTCTCAGTCCCACCGCCTTTGCAAGCACGACTGGTGGGACGAGAGACAGGGCCTTCTCAGTGGTGGCCCCTCAGCTATGAAACTCCCTCCATAATGAAATTAGAGCAGCCCCCCTCCTTCCTGACCTTCAGGAAAAAAGTTAAAACATGGTTATGTGACCAAGCTTTCATTTGGCAAGTTTTTTCGTGCAACAAGAGAATAAGGAACAGTGAACGGACCAATGGAATGGTTTCAGATTATGATTCCGGTTGGCGTGATTTTCATAACTGGTTTTAAATTGTGTTGTTTTAATGTAAATGTTTATTATATTGTATTGTAACACCGCTCTGAGTCCCCTTCGGGGTAGAGAAGGACAGGATATAAATGAAGCAAATAAATAAATAAATAAATTTGAATACCACAGATCTGCAGGCATTCATTAAGTGTGTCAGATATGTTGGTTGTGTAGTAGTCAGTTTTACGTCTATCCCCGTAAAGGAAGGTGCACATTTTCTTCCCCTCCTCATTCCTGCCCTGTCCATTGTTTCATCTCCTGTCCTGCCCCATTCAGACCCAATATTGCCCAGTATTGCCCCTACCTTTCAGAAATAACTCCGGCAGTCCTGACATGGTAGTGGCCATTGGTTACTGTGTGAATTGAGCTCAAACATGGGATTTTGATAAATGCTGGGATTTCAATGACAAGCATGTTCTTCCATTATATTTTCTTTTATTCTTTGTGAAAAAACAAACATAGATTATTCAAAGTACATGGCAGGAGGTAAATGGCAAAATTGCAGTCTGCATTTTAATGCAGGACTCCGGTAGGAATTTCTGAAAGAGTAATGTTTGTAATCCACCGAGATTTCTGTCTCATTTTATTGATATTTGTCTTTTTATGGATTTTTCTTAAATAATTGTAATTTTATTAATAGTTCAATTTCATTTTAACTGACTTTTTATGTGTATGTAACAATGTATTTGTGTTTTAACTGTATTTATTTCAGTTTTGAATTTTGTCATTATTATAGAATAATACAGTTTGCTGCATACAAAGAGCTGGCAGGAATTTAAACCTGAAAAAGTTGTTGAAATGATGAGGATTAAAAACCTTGGATTATAGATATGGTAATCACAAAGAAAAGCAAGGAAAGGAAAAAGGATTATGAAACTGATTTAGCTGATTTCTAGATTTTTGGAAATAATTGATGGTCCAAAATCTAACACCTCATATATTGTAACTGTTATTATCATGAAAATAATGATGGGTATGTAGCTGCAGGAATGCCTTACATGTTCAGGTTGACTTGGAACAGCTCATACTGTGGTAATTCAGTGGACAGATTTAGCTTCTTTTATTCACAGATGTTGACAGTATTTCCTCTTTTCAGATCCGGGAACAAAATCTGCAAGACATTAAAACTGCTGGCCCACAGTCACAAGTGCTATCTGGGGTGGTTGTAGACAGGAGCCTTGTACAGGTGAGAACAAAAGCTGCTTTAAAATGCTAATCTCTGGTATATTTCTCACTGTCACCTAATGCATCACTATGAAATTATTATTCTTTAACTGACAGAATGTAACTATTTATAAGGTAAGTGTTAGAGGTAACATTTTTGTCTTCACAACCCATGCCCAGAGCCAGAAGCGCAGTGGAAGCATGACATTAGCAGTGTGCTAACTTTCATGCTGGTTGTAGTGCATGAGACATGCAAAGGCTGCGCCTCTATGGGCTAAAAATCCACTCTGAACTAGTCAGGCTTTGTAGCACCGACTATATTTGAAAAAGCGCTTGTGTCAAATGATTGTTTCTAAGTAATGGCTTCCTTGATGCAAACTATAGAGAAATAAGAAGATTTTATTGTACAGTCATCTAATTGAACAATTACACAAAGGGTAGCTTTTCCAGTACAGCATATGCACTAATGGCTTTTCTAAATAAAGAGGAAAGATACCCACATTCCTTTTGATTGTACTTTATGAAGTTTGACTAGTGTCATTGTCATAGTGATCATTGGTAAGGTGGGGTTAACTTCTCTTGCATGTTGCATTGTTCTCACTGCTTTAGCATCAACATTTACTGTTTTCCTGCATGTGTTTAGCTCATGCGCAATGCTCTTAGCTGATAATGTGAAGCCTGAGCTCGGTTTGCTCTGTTCACTCAATTTACTGTTGCAGGATGCTCCCCTCTCAGACTGTACGGAAACAATTGAAGGGCTCGATCCCACAGAGCAGGCCTTTAGTCCCGCTAAATCTGTCTCTATTAGAAAGGTACTGCCCTGTCATACTGCTGTATATACTATTATATACCTTTTAATTTCTCTTGAACGCTGGTTTCTAGCTTTTGTTGATGCATTCATGTAAAAAGAATTAGATGGGTCTGCAAGTTAGACATATGTATGTTTTGATATAAAATAACTTCAAAAGAGTGCCAGTTTACTAACTTTGAGATCATAAATAACTTATATTAGGCTATAAGCTGCCGTGGGTAGTATTCTTTTACACATGATCCTTGTGTTAGCATCCCAGACAGTCCAGTGTAATTTCTTCAAATATAACTGGGAATAATGCAATACAGATGATGTAAACGTGGCTGTACATGTTTTCCTCTAAGAAAAATTGGTTAGAGAGAGACGTGAATGAGTATTGCACTACGTATGTTCCACTCATAGGCCACATGTGCCCCCCCCCCCCCCACAAGGATTTCAGGAATCCTGAAAAGGCTACCCTTCTCACCATTTCTCCCGCTGCCAGTCATGGGACTTGTAACTTTATGAGGTCTTTAGCCTTCTTTGGCAAAAAGTGCTGGTGCCTTACCAAACTATAAATTCTATAATTTCTTTTCTGGCTAAGGCCAACGGTTCAGACCCAGAATATTTGCAGAGCCACATCTTCATTTACAAACCTGCTTGAGCTCTGCTATATGCGAAGGAGGCCCTACTCTTGGTCCCACCCCCATCTCAAGTACGGCTGGTCAGAACGAGAGAGGGGGCCTTCTCTGTGGTCACTCCCTACCTCTGGAACTCCCTCCCAAAAAGCTGCTAAAAACACACCTATGCATACGGAGAGGAGGATGACTAATATGTCTTGATATATAACATCACCTAGATATATTAAATCTTTATAGCTACTGGAATTAATCTCAGCCTTTTGGAAACCATTTTACTTCCAATCATGGTTCTAGTTGTTTTGCATTTTATTCTATTTAAATTCATATTGTGTGATTATGTTTGCTAGGATTGTCAAGTTTTATTTTTGGCTAATTTTTATTTGGTATTAAGTTTATAGTAATGGTGGTTCTATTTTCTTTGATGTGCATTGTTTTGATGCAGTTGGTTATTACGTTTTTTCCTGGCATTGAATGCCATATGTGTTTAAAATCGCCCTGAGTCCCTTCGGGGAGATAGGGAGTTCTATAAATAAAGTTGTTGTTGTTGTTGTTGTTGTTGTTGGAGATAGAGAGGTCTATAAAGTAGTAGTAGTAGTAGTTGTTGTTGTTGTTGTTGTTATTCCCTGACTCCAGTTTGGGTGAGACAAAGAGAAAAAGGCATCCCAGAGCCAGGGGAGAGGAGGTAGCCCAATTCAAAGGCACATTCCAGCTTGCCTCTTACCCCTTCCCCCCACAGCTCCCCTTTACTTATGGCAGACCTGCTCAACATGGGGCCCAGAGAGGGAGGGGGAGGAAGAGTTGTCAGAAGACGTGAAGCCTATTTTAACATTGGCCGCTTACTACTGTTGAGTTGTTCAGATCTGGAGTATTGCATCTAAAGCAGAGCTCTCCAAGCATTTCAGGTTGGTGACACTTTTTTAGATGTGCATAATTTCGCAACACTGTAATTTGATTTTACTAGCAAACAGGAGGTCAAGCCAATCCCTTAATTGAATACCTAAATGACTACCGATCGGTATTCATGAGATACTGATAAATCCATATCTCATGAAAAGCTTTCTCATATATATATATATATATAATATGATTTTTTGCTTATTTCACATAGACTCATAGATTTATTGCTTATTTCACTCAGACTTGGATTTTTCAGTTTATTCAAGCACCACACCTACACACTACATCAGACACTAAGGTGTCATGACACACAGTTTGGAAAGCTCTAATCTAAAGGTTAATTATGAATTCCTACAGTCTTTTTACGAAGCATGTACAAAGCCTAATTGGAACAAGTACATGGATCTGAAACTGTAGCTATTTTTTAAAAAAAACCAGTCCTAAAGTGTAGCAAGCCAATAGTCTTGAAAATAAATCTTCATTCCGGTATGGAGAATTCAAAACAGGACATTTTTATATGAATTCCCATAGAAAACCTAGATGGCAACAGTCTCAAGATCTGGCTCAGAAGGCAAACACAAATGTTGTTCTTCTGGAAAACAATAGCATCTGCTTAGTGCATTAGTTTGAGGCAAGATAATCTGTTCTGCCTGTGCTCCGTCTCTGCTTGATGGATCAGTGGAAGTCACAGTTAAGTATTCTCTGTAGACTTTTTTGTACAACAAGCACCCACGAAAGAAATGAATACTTGCAGATAATAATTTTTTTCCTCCTGTATCACTCAGTGTTAGTAATCTTCATTTTATATTTACCACTATGTAGCAAATGTGGATGTTTCAGATTTCCTTCATTGAACAATGAATTGATTGTTCTGCTACAGTTGCAATCCAGTTTGTGTGAGGAATTGCAGAGTACAAGAAAAATGTTAAATCCCTTTTTACCAGCTTTTGAAATATGTTCATGATTACATTAGTCTGAACTCAGTCAGCATATTCTGAAAGATTGTTGATGGCTGTAAAGCATTTCTTCCTACAGTGTAAATTTGTGTTGATAGTGACACTTTTTCAGAGAGAACACATTTTTGTTGGATCACAACCTGTTATCATTTGTATTAATTTGACACAAAATATAATCGTATGTGCAGATTATATCGGTGCATGTGCCTTCCACACAAGCAGTTTACTTACTTTATTTCAACAATCCTTATTGCAAGAAACCAGCCGAATGTAAGTCTTGACTTGTAGCCAGCAGTTGATCCAATGGTTGGATCTGGTTGGGACTGACAATTGGATTTAGGCTTTTATGTAACCTGTTGCTGCTTTTTTATGTGATGTCTCCTGTAATCCCAGTTCACTGTATCAGTGCCAGTTCTGGAGCATGGGAATTATCAACTAGGCAAGGCCTGAACTTTGTTTTGTCTTGCTTGTTGATTTGATTTGGTGTGACTGAAGAAAGGCAAGGAAGAGGGACAAATCCAAAATAGTGAAAGATGAAGAAAAACAAATGTCTAAAACTATATTGAAAGTATTCCTTAAAAAGCATTTCAGATATATGGTCTTCCTTGGGAACCGTTGCTTATAGTTGTATCTTCAGTTTGTGGGTACAGAAAATGTTTGGTTTTGTTTATTCTGAATATTATCTTGCCAGATGACTAGCCTAAAGCTAACTCTTGACAGAAGTTGATTGTATGAATTAGCTATGTGACGTGGAAGACTGACAGTTATCTCCCCCTCAACATGCCACAGAACAGTGCTGTATTTATGTCTATTGGCTTCAATATTTCTTCCATCCCTAGAAACTTTGAGGACAGGAAACCAGTATTTTCCAAAGTGTTGTACAAATGATAGTGAAAAATATTAATTTATAAAGAATTCTGGAGGAAAGCAAATGTTGGAATTGATGTTACCCCTGGGCAAGATTTAATTCTAGCTCCTACACCTCCATGACATACAAAAATAATTTCTAGACTTCTGTCCTTATTTCTGTCTTGTTTCATAGCTATGGAAAAAAAGCTAAGAAATAAGCTCTTATTTTCAGATAATGTTATTACAAAACATGTTTTAACTTCATTGGTCCAGCAGAAAAAGGACTATTTCCCACAGCACTCTTCCCTTTTTATCTCTCAAAGACACATTCTGACTTCAAATGATATTCAGTACAACTGTTAGCATCCATCGTCATCTTTGTGAATGAAAGCTTTGTGGTTTGCACAAAGTCCAGCCTAGTTAAAAGTTTAAAGTTTTATAGGGAATAATATTTGTAATTGTATGCTATTTACATTGAGTCCCTTCAAACTGACTATGGTTTGATTGATCATCTTTCAAGGTTTGTTCTCTAAAACACCAGGAAACTATGTAGATAAATCAAAATAATTCGGAATGAAAATGGAGAATCTAGCAAAAAGACCTAATGTTTTTATTATTTCTGAAATTAGCTACTGTGTATGCTGCTTTTCTACTCAAAAAAGCCTCATGTTGTTCACAGTGAAATAAGACCAGCAGCTGTCAGTGTATTTTTCGAGTAATATGTAACAGCTCAGGTTGCTGTAGTTCATGTAGACCAGTGGTTCCCAAACTTTTTTAGACCAGGGACCACTTGACTGGGGACCACTTTCCAACATTAGTACCAAAAGAGTTACTTTTGGTTATTTGGGGAGCTGATTCAGAAAATTGCATTGGATAGACCACATCAGCTCTAGTTTCTGATACAGAACATATGCCATCCAGTTGTCGCTATCTGCTTGCTTACAGAAAACCATATTTAATAATCTAGAATTGATATAGTCTAGCCAATGCAATTTTCTGAATCGGCACTCCAAATAATCCTAGGAACGGGCCTAAAAACAAAGACACTAAGAAAAAAAATTTTTTTGGTTGAGCTGTGTTATTATCCATGGGTTTTGTTAATGTTCATTTTTTAAAAAAGAGGGGGAGGGGGCTGAGATTGAAAACAAAATATAGAAAGTGGGATGTGAGACCCAAGAAACTGTCCCTAATGACTTTAATAAATAAAATGAAAACCTCCTCAGTGTTATGTTTGTATCTAATTTAAATAATTTCCCCCATTGTTTTCCCGTATTGTTCTGTGTCCCCCCCCCCCCAAAATTGTTGGTGCTCTATATGTTAATTGGTGAATGAATTGCCTTTTCTTCCAATTAGGGTGAATTGGTGACAGCATCGAAGGCAATAATTGAGAAGGAGTACCAGCCACGAGTCATCGTGAGTACTGCAGGACCAAATCCCTTCAACAAATTCACAGACAAAGAACTGGAAGAATATCGCAAAGAAGTAGAAAGGAAACAGAGACAAACAGAAGGTTGGTGTGCATTAACTTTATCATTCGTCTGTGATGTCGGGTTTGTGAGCATATGTGTCCAAGTGTGTTTCTTCTATGAGCTGATGTGATCCTGCTGCGGTTCTACTGTGACATTAATTGAATATGTATCTTATGTTAGAGAATTCTGCTTCACAGAATTGTAATTAAATCTATCTGTAGGACTGTTGTTCCTCCCCTTTAAGAAAGTGGGAATGTGGATAGTGTAAGCATTTTTCCATTAGCTAGCATCAGATAGATTGCACTGGCTAATGCGCATTTGGTGCCTCATATGTTAGATGTGTTTCTGGGTATATTTGGCCTGCTAATTCCAGTTGCTCCCATCAGCTTTGGTTTGTGAGATACAAAACATATATCTCATATCTCACTTTATTTCTGGCCCACCTGTTGGTTACTCAATACTTTTTTAAGGGTATCCCTCAGCTTCTGTTCATTGTTTTTCCGCACTTTCCACTGGCTCCATCTCGGAAGCATTGCACTTATTTGAGCCTGATTCCAGCTTTGACTGTTATCTCAGCTTTATTGTTTTAAGATGACGTCTTTTGATTGTGTTATGTTTTTATTTGATTGATTTTAATGCTGTTTTTATTTGTAACGTGGGCTTTGCCCCCTTGTAAGCTGCCCCAAGTCTCTTCAGGGATATGGTGGCGGGGTATACAATAAAGTTATTTTTATTATTTGAAACACCACCAGATGAGTCCACAGCAGACACTCTGCTGGCTGTTGTATTGGATCACACATCGGACACTTCCCAAGTGTCTAGGACTATGTGATGTATTGGCGAATAATGCATGCAGATCCCAGTAAGGTGGCCTTTTGCAGCTGGCAGATGGTAATCTTGTCAGTCCTGATTGGGTTTAAGTGCAGGCCAAGGTCTTTTGGCACTGCACCCAGTGTGCCGATCACCACTGGGACCACCTTTACTGGTTTGTGCCCCAGAGTCTTTGCAGTTCAATCTTTAAATCCTCATATTGTGTCATCTTTTCCAGTTGTTTCTCTTCAATCCTGCTGTCACCTGGGATTGAAACATCGACAATCCATACTTTGCTTTTTTAACACAATCATGAGGTCAGGATTATTGTACTCCAAAACTCTGTCTGTCTGAATCTGGAAGTCCCAGAGCAGTTTGATGTGTTCATTTTCTGTAACTTTTTCCGGCTTGTGATCTCATCAGTTCTTTGTTGCAGGCAGAGGGTATTTGTGGCACAAGTTCCAGGGGATCATCTGAGCAACGGTGTTATGCCTCTGCTTGTAGTCTGTCTGCACAATCTTCTTGCAGCAGCTGAGGATGTATTCTATTGTTTCATCTGCTTACTTGCAGAGTCTACATTTGGGATCTGTTGTTGTTGTTGTTATATGCCATCTATCAGTCACCATCTGCTCACCTATAGAAAACCATGATAACCATCTATAAGAAACTGAGATAATAATAACAATAACAGTAACAATAACAACAACTTTATTTATATTCTGTCCTATCTCCCCAAGGGGACTCCTCAGGGTGGTTGACAACAAATATTGGCAAACATTCAATTCCATAAAATGTGGCCTATGCGGTACCATTTTCTGCATCAGAGCCCCAAATATTCCCAGGAACAGGCCTAAAAACCATATGTTGTTGGGCTGTGTTGTTCTTCCTTAAATGTGATGATTCATTTTAAATCTAAAAAGGGTGAAACTAAGGTATAATATCTAAAGCATGGTAGTTTAGAATGGGAAGGCAGTCTTTTTCAGACTGATTATTGGTAATATTTGAAAAGAAGCAAATTATAAAAATGATCAAAAATCTTGTAATCAAATCACATCGATATTTGGACCATGCAAACTATGGATGGGAGAGGCTGTTGGGGTGAAAGGAGTCAGAGGAAGAGGAAGGAGAACTGTGTCTGCCACAAAATTGCCCTTTTTCTTTTCCTCAAGAGAAGGAGGACAAGACTGTAGAGCATTTCTCTAGCAGTGTTCTATCCTGGGAGAGGCAGCAAAGGTGCAATGGAAGTAGCCTGTGGGTTGGCGGAGATTGTTGCAACATTTGAAGCCTTTGCTATATTCTGTATTTTTTACATCTATAGATGTAGTTTAACCATGCCATTGTTGCCACTTAATTTTTTTGTGCTCTTCAATGTCCTTGGTATAGTTTACATGTTCTATCTATTTCTATATTGTCTTCATAGCCACTACATGAGGTGGTTTAGACCAATAGACAGTGATTAGACTGAGGCCATGGGTAGGTTGGGCTGAATAATCCTAGTAATGGACCACCATGATCATCATTACACCACAAACGCTGTTTTAATTGTATGTGAGTTTTGAAGGGAGGCTGTGAAAAGCTCTCAGGTGTTTTTAGTTTTCAGTTGTTTGCCCAAGGGGATATCTGCAGGAGGAAGAGAAGACTCAATCCATTATTGCAAGGAAAATGCTCTTTTTACCTCTATCTGATAGTGCTTAATGGAGTAATTGGAGCAGAAAGAGATGGGAATCTCTGTATGCATCCTCATTCTGTCTCTGATCAGTTGTATGTAACTCCTAGCAAACAAAGATTAATTGGGACAAGATTATTTTGGCAGGATTTGTAATGTCAAAAAGACTCAGTGCTCTACTCATATTAAGAATGAAGGCAGTAGAAACACTCCCAGTGACATAATAGCAGAAAGAATGTCAGTTAAAAACATACTGAAATTGTATTATCATGTTCTCAAAGCGATTGCAAACTGACTCAGGTCACAAAGTGAAGAAACTTTTACATTGGAAAAAAAGGACCAAACGAACAAGTGTAAAAAATGTACAAAGGAATGGAAGATGTTAGTAGCTTGTACATTTATTTTTATGGTTCTATTCTATGTGTGTATACATACACAGCACAGGAACTTGTGTCTTTTTTAAAAAAATCAACAGTTCAGTTATGTTTTATTGCTCTTGATCTCAGTTCATTGTTTTCCCTGTAAAGTGATAATATAGATGGGTTGGCTGAATTGATCTGAAAGCATTGCAAAATGTTTGCATCTGTGTTTGTATTTTATTTTACTTTCTCTGAATCCTTAGTATGTGTCATTTGAATATGTTGGCCGAGGTCCTGCACAGGCACCGCCTACACTGACCATTTAATGCAGTTCAAATCTATCTTCAAAGTGTGGCAGCCAGGAAACAAATTACCACAAAAGTGCAGAAAAGAAAGTCCTTAATGTACATCAGTGTTCTCTATTTTGTATAATCCCCATCTGAGGCCCCTTCCACACAACTGAATAAACTCCCACATTTCCTGCTTGGAACTGGAATATATGGCAGTGTGGAATCCGATTACTCAGTTCAAAGCAGATACTGTGGGATTTTCTGCCTTGGTATTCTAGGTTATATGGCTGTGTGGAAGGGCCCTGAGCCACAAACTGGTTCCGGGATTTCCTGGTTTGAAACTATTGAAGGCCAGTGTATGATGATGACATAGTTTTGTCATGGTAGTTGCACCTTCCAGAAATCTAACTTTTCAGCCAAAGGCTTTCCAAGGCACTGTAGATCAGGACATTACAGTCCTCCGTTACCATTAGCCAAAGCAAATTTCAAATGCAAACATCAAGGTGCTGTAGTTCATTTAACAGAGAGCACTATAGCGATAGGTATCACAAGTGTAAAGCCTAGCCTTCGCTTGATAGTGCTCATCTGTTTTGCTTATTTTATTCCTCTGAAAATGTTTTTTTCCCAGTAATAATAAACGATATATGTCATTTATTTTTTTTAACTATTACATCTGACCCAGCCATAGTTTTTAAATTTTTGCGTGTTATTGTTTATATATGAGTTATATTAATTGTATTGTTTTATTTGCTTATTGCTTTGTTGTTTTTATTGATGTGTTGTTCGGCTTAGCCTCATGTAAGCCGCCCCGAGTCCCCTTGGGGAGATGGTGGCAGGGTATAAATAAAGTATATTATTATTATTATTATTATTATTATTATTATTATTATCTATATATCATTTGCTTTTTCTGTACATTTAATATGAAGGAGTGTGGTCATATTTGTAAGCTCTGTATTCTGGTGTTTTGTTGTTTTTAGAAGATTCAGAAGATGCTAGACAGCAAAGAGAAAAAGGTTCTCCTGACCACACTGTTGCTTGCACTCCACCCAGCACTCCGGTTAAGCCAGAGGAAGGTATGGCCTCAAAGATATAAGAGTCTATGGAAGCTGCACCTAGGTTTTTAATTTTCTCTGAATTCTCTGTTGGGAGGAAAGAATGTTTTGTGTTTTTCTCTGTAGAGTCATGTAGCTAAATTTTGTGGTTGTGGTTGCATTCACAATAATAAAGAAATGTGCATTGAGAACATAGAAATTCCCTCGTTGGGTCAGACCAAGATCTTTCTAGTGTCGCTAGTGTTCTCTTTCTAGCAACATGTCAGCTTCTTCTCTTGTTTCTCCCTGACATTTGGAGATTTGAAGCATCTTGTTCAGCTCACATGGCTTATCAGGTGCTCACTTCCTTGAAGTCTAAACCTAGTGGGCAGCACCATGTCTTGATTAATTTGTATGAGGAGTTTCATAGTGGATATTATTTGTTCTTTCATTTTGAAAAAGGAAGATTTTTTCATCTCCAGCTTTGTGCAAGTCTGTCAGCTTCTGCTTTCTTTTCTCTTTAGTTTTCAGTACTAAAAAGTCTTCTATCCTTTTTTTCTCTGTCTTAAGGAAGCTGCTTACTCCCTTCAGTCATTTCAGTTGTGTGTGTGTTTTTGTTACCTGTCTCAACCCTGAGACAACTCTTTTTTCTTTCTTTTGTGCTATGGTGCTATTAAAAGATTCCAAGTATAGTCAAATTACTGTATACCTTTCATAACAATAAGCACTGAAATGAGCTCAAGTGGATGTTTCACTATAACTTCAAGATGTCTTCTTGTGAAATCCCAGCCAGCATCTGAACGATTCCATAAATCCACCTCCCCACTCATCCATAGTGATAATCTCTCCGATATGGGGAAAGTACTTCATCCCTCTCAGTAGGAATGCTTTGTAAAATCTTGCTTCACTGAGAGAAATTGGTCCCTTATTCCATAGCAACAAATTTATTGATAGAAAAAGGAGTTCGGCTAGAATCCAGTTGAGCAGTTATAAGTGTTTAATGACCATACTTAGGTTAAATTCTAGCCTGACTGAATTTTTGTAAAAATCAGCTGTAGATTCATACTTCTTCAATTGTAAAATGCACTCTGATTTCAGTACCACCACCACTAGAAATACACAATATACCTGTGATTCTAAGACGCACCCCATTTTCAGAGATGTTTATCTAGGAAAGAAGTGAGTCTCAAAATGGAAGAAATTCAGTATATTTCTATGTTTCAGTTCCTTTAGATCTGAACAATATTTCTAGGGTTCCTTCATAGTAAAAAGGATGAGAAAAGCTGATTTAGAGAACGTCATTACTGAGCTACCTTAACAACCACCACCACTTCGATTACTCTTCTCCAGCATATCCCTTTTCTCCTGTAATTTCAGTTTCTGTTGGCAGAAATGTTTGTCAGCAGTAGTTCCTGATACTATTGTGTAAAGATTGGGTCTCCCTTGATACTGGAATGTCAAAATTATCAGGATATTGGTGAATACATGGTTTATCTGTTGTCCCAGTTTTCATTACTCTGTATGCATTCCTAAAATGTACCACTTGTTATTTTGCTCTGATAGCCAGCCTAAAGAGACAGTTTTCAAAGTCTTCAGGATTGCCTGAAATCATACCAAATTATTCATAATTTGGTACTTAACCTGGAATTAGATTGTGTAGACTCCATCCGGACTCAAGCCTTTCTGATTCATTGACTTCAATGTCAATAGAGTTGTTTAGGTCAGGAGTTCATCTGTGTTCAGCAGAACACCCAACTACTTACAAAGGACAGTCATATTCCGGTAGAAGAAGAATTTGACAAAACTCATTTGTTTAAACGAATAGGCAAAACTGTTCGTTGAAGTGGCAGAAATTTCATGAATTCTGCTTGGTGGTTGCACATTTCTTAAGCATTATTGTAATTGGATTACACCTTTCGTTTTCTGTTTCTGTTCTAATTTAGATTAAAATTTGTTTCTCCTGTGGTCTCTACCCAACGAGAGCAGGGACAGAGACAGAGACATCTTTTAATCACATTTCAACGGACTGGTATAAGCAATAAGAGAGGTGTAATCTAAGATTTGTTCCGTGTGTTTTTTTAACCCTGAGATTTACCACGTGTGTGTTACAAAGTTGTCTGTTCATACCACCTCATTCTGTATTCTATAAGAATGGGACTGCCCATTCTTTTAATATAATGGCTGTGATGGATGCATAGATTCTCTACTTGTGCTTTTTTCTTCTTGTGGCTGCATTACAAACAGGAGGTGGATATGCTAAAGAGTACCTGTTGCCATAGTAAGTACCATCCCATTCCTGTTGCTGCTGCTTTCCCTGACCTGTCTGTGCTTTGCTTCATTCTCTTGCATCTTCTGTGATGTTTTCTCCTTTTGTCGGGCATTTATACAGTATGAATATGCTTAACTATTTCAATTGCTTTAGAGGAAAAATTACATCATAATTACATTAGTAAAACGATAGTCTGTACTTTAAGGATGTGAATTGTAGCATAAAACAACAACAAAAAAACCCAGGGAGCTGRGGTGGTACAATTGGTTAAACCCTTGTGCCGGCTGAAGTGCTGACCTCAAGCTCAGTGGTTCYAAGCCACGAGACGGAGTAAGCTCCCATCTGTCAGCTCCAGCTTCCCTTGCAGGGACATGAGAGAAGCCTCCCACAGGATGGTAAAACATCCGAGTGTCCCCTGGACTACATCCTTGCAGATGGCCAATTCTCTCACACCAGAAGCAACTTTAAGTTTATCAAGTCACTTTAGACACAATTAATTTTTTAAAATGTCCCAAAGGCTGTAGGAAGTAACAGATCTTTGCCTCTGAAGTCCTCAGTAATGCTTCAACCTCAGACAGGAAGATCTGTTATTACATTTCCCTTCCACATTGGCCACAAGACGAAACTGACCACTAAAAGCAGGTATTTTGTAGGGGTATTTGGCAGATGTGACAGTGAGGGATTTGTTGGATGAAGGGAGGCATCAGCTGTTAGATACATTTCCAACATAGAATGAAATTTAGGTGTTGTTCTGAGGAATCTAGCTCAGTACTTTCCTCTTGCTAGCAGAAGGAGTAGATCTTTGGTTAAAAGAAGGAACAAGCCCATGAAAGGGAGAAATGGGTCAGATACTCGTAAAGTGAGCCAAATACTTTGCCTTTCTGGCAAAAGTCCAACATGGCTTTGGGTGAAATAGAGCATTTGAAATTGGAGCATTCATCTTCCTGAATGCCCTTAGCATTAATACCTAAATTACATTTCAATGTGGCTTCCAAATGAAGTGTGTATGTTGGTAGCCACATAAGCTATTGCTCAAATCATCACTTAATCTTTTAATCTTAATTAAAGGATTTTAATCTTAAACTACTAATTTATTCCCCTTAAAAAAAGATTAATTACTATTGTGTTGCTTCTTGCATAAATAACAAAAATTGTTAAATTGACTTTTTTGTAAAAAAAAAAAGTAGACGAGCTTATTTCATACTGTTGTGTTGATGTTTCAGATGTCTATTGTTTTCAGTGCAGGGATGGGAACCATGCAACCTTTGAACCTCTGTGGCTCCTTGGGCTCCCCACCCCCCAAAACTCAAACTCTTAACAGATTCTGCCTGTTTATGCAAAACATCCCATCCAGAAACCTCCATTTTCAGCCAAGGAACACCTCTGGCTTTGCCTTAAATATTCTTTCAGCTCACCATCTTCTTGCAGAACATCCCAAAAGAATGAGGACATCACTTGCAGTTTCAGAAAATGGCATACCTGAAGAACCCCAAATGATGTTCTGAAACTATATACCCAATATACTCACGTTTAAGACAAGAAATTTCAATCAAAAATCAACCTAAAAACACTGGGTTAACTTCTCCCCAGGTCAACATCATCAGTACTATAGCTTAACAAAGTATTGAGTAGAGTGGTGTAAGGCGAGTTTAGTCCAGTGGTTCTCAGCTTGTGGGTCCCCAGATGTATTGACCTAATAGAAATCCTAACAGCTGGTAAATTGGCTGTGATTTCAGGGAGTTGTAGGCCAAAACACCCGGGGGCCCACAGGTTGAGAACCACTGGTTTAGTCTGTCCTGGGAGAATCTAAAAGAAGCCCTACCCCATCTACACTCTCCACTATGGTTCCACTTTAGCCCATTTTGTGTTCCTGGGTGGGGAAATAGCACTGGTCAGCATTGGTGATTTCCCCCTCTGCAGAACGCTCCTCAACTTGTCCATGGGTCAGATCACAATCCATAATTTTCCCCTCGGCTTACTCATGAGGCCAACGTATACATGAGTATGTACAGTACATACTGGCTCCTATACATGGTCCCTTATCTACATGCTAAACAAAGGGACATTTCAAACAAGACACAAAAAATGGAAGCAGACACACATCACATGCCCCTCAGGGTATAAATGTTCCATGTCCTTCCCCTTTTGAAACTGACTAGAACCACATTATGAAGCAGCTCTTTATAGCACCGTTTTAATGAAGCCGTTTTCCTTGGCAGATTTATTCATGTGCCAGTTCATTTTCTGAAAATTAAAAAATTGTGCTGCATAAAATGTAGTATACTGACTGAAGAAAAGTAGTGGAACATTTAAAGTATTTTGAAGAAAACTAATTACCGCTTACAAATTTCCAAATGGCTTTATCCTCTGACTCTGCTTTCAAATTACCTTAACATAATTTAAAAGTCTCTTTTAACATTTTGTTTTGCTGAGTTTGATGTGATTTCTCTCTAATACAACTTTTTTTCAGCTGTTTTAACTTCCGAAGATTGTTAATTGCAAGATAGAAAGGTAGTGTTATGGAAGTGGGGGGATGCATGCTTTTGCAGTGCAGCTTTTTTCCACTAAGAATTTTCCCCTCCATTGTGGACATTTTACAATATCTGATATCAAGGGAGGTCTTTTTGAGAGGACATTTTTGCATTCTGAAAATGCGGGGACATTAGAAATAGGAAAAATTGCATATTCTATTTGTATAAACCAGTGGTTCCCAACCTGTGGTCAGTGGACAACCAGTGATGCGAAAGAACAAAAATATGATCCATGGCCTCACCACGGTGGCAACGAGAGTGACTGGTCCTGCAAAGCCCTCTTATAGTGCCAAGGCAACGGGAGTGTCAGGAGGGGGAGAGGCTGACTACCCACGAAAAATTACTACTACCACATCAGCTCTAGATTATTAAATATGGTTTTCTGTTGGCGAGCAGATTTGTTTATTTATTTATTTATTTAAAACATTTATATTCCACCCTTCTCACCCCGAAGGGGAATCAGGGCGGAGCACAACATACAATGGCAAACATTAAATGCCGGGACATAAATAGATTATACACATATGTAAACATTAAAATAATTTATCTCAACATTAAAACCACTGTTTAAAACAGATGGCGACTAATGGATAGCATATGTTCTGTATCAGAAATTGGAGCTGATGTGTTCCATCCAATGCAGTTTTTTGAACCAGCACTCGAAATAGCTAAACTGAATCTAAAGTTGACCAAAAACGGATTCATAACCCTTTTGGTACTGATGCTGGAGAGTGGTCCCTGGTCAAGTGGTCCATGGTCAAAAAAAAGTTGAGAACCACTGGTATAAACTAAGTAATCCACACTTCAGATTTCCAAGTATATCTAATGAAAGCAATATATTTTTATATATACTTTTAGAGAACTGTATCAGTAAATGATGTCACTTTAAATACATCAGCAATTTTTGACACATTCTCTATTTTTGGTATAGATTTGAACCATTTATTTTTTTTAAAAAATCAAAAACAATAGCGTGACAGGCTCCAAAGGAATACTGCATTTGTCTGCCCTGGGATTTTGACCCTAGCTCTGGATATTCTTTTCCCAGACAGAGCTGATTTCCACTAAGAGTCTGTTGACGTCCTAGGCACATATTAATATCTATGTCCTGTTGATTGCTTCATTAGAGAGGCAGCCTAACCAGGCTTGCAATTACGACAGTGATGCTGCAACTTTCAAGCAAAGCCTCCCAGACCTCACCCCTGATGAGACTTCAGAAGCCCTTGGCATTTCAACCTTTAAAAAAGAAGACGAAGAAGAAGAAGAAGATAAATGTGGCAAAGATGTTGCTCAAAGCCAGACTGAATGTCCCCCTGAAACCCAAGATGCCCCCCCTCCGCCTGGCGAAGAGGCAGCGGCCCCGTTGGCTGAGGAGGGGGCAGCGGCCGAGCCAGGTGGGGATGAGTCTCCTGGGAAGTCTCCGTCCAAGAAGAAGAAGAAGTTCCGTACGCCTTCCTTTCTGAAGAAGAACAAAAAGAAGAGCGACTCCTAAAGAGCTTCAGAAATATTACGTTTTAGAATCTCAGTGTATTAACCATTAGAATTTATCTGATCTTACGTGACCATAGTTTCCTTTTTGTTTTTATGTACAACTCGGAACAAACTTTAATTCCCTCAAGATAATTGCTTGATGAATTGAGATTATAACAGAACATTTGCAAGAAGGTGCTAGCCCTGTTTATCGGAGCAGTAACTCACTCAATATGTTAGCCGTGATTGGAGAATTTATACTCTTTCAGAGATTGGGGAACTGCTCCCACCATTCCTTACAATTGACCATAACTAGCAGGGGCGGATGGGATCTGGAGTTGAGCATCTGGAGGGCCACAGGTTTCCCTGCCTTGATGTAAATTGCTTCCACAGAAACGCCCCCGTGGAAGATAGTGGGCCACTCTGTGTAACTTCGAAAGCTCATGTTGCTTTGTGTATGAAGGCATACATTTTTCACAAAGTCCTACGTGATGTTGCTATCTGCTCACTCTTAACGTTTGTCCCAGAGCATACCCTTGTTGTAAAAGGTAAAAGGCTAACAGCACGAGGATCACTGCGTTTATGCTTTGAGAAGTTGTATTACTAAAATGAGCTTCTGCACTGTGTAATTAGAAATAACGTTACGCTGAGGCTTGACTGAGAGCTGTTTTTTCTCCCTTCTTATTCTGTATTGTAGCATAGCTGAAATTTAAACCTGTGTGTAAGAAGAATGAAGTAATTTTGTGGTGTTTCCTGCTAACCCTTCTACCTGTTTTCTAATAAATTTCATGTAACCTTTTTCCACAGAATAAAACGGCTATTTTACTAGTTTGTTTTTTTAGCAAAAGCGTGTATTCAGCATCACCTGAAAATTTGGAACATAAAAAGGTCTGACTAGCATCATGTCATTTTGAAAATTTAAACATAAGACCTGCTTGCTGCTCCTTTCTGAGCGCCCCAGGGAGGCTGCCTACATCCTGGCAGCAAGTGAATATAGCTGGGATTTCACAAAGCTTGCTGTTCTCTTCGGCTTCTTGGAATTCACTCATTTAAAATGCAGTGCAGTGACTAAGCTGTGTTGTGCCTGTGGATATTTTAGAAACACTTTTGTTTTCAAAATTTGGTTTACTTCATCAAAAACTGAGTTATTTCTAGTTGTTAAACAAAGCAAATTTTCATATATTATTGGAGGTCCGGGGAACTAATAATACTGACTTTTATTAATTAACTTGAATATAGTAATGAGTAATACACCACTTACAGATCATGGCTTTGTTGTATAATCAAAATCTGACAAGATAGGATTGTATGCCTTACAATTTGTGCTTGAAGAAAGTGCAGAAAATTAAAATGAATTCAGTAACTGGGCGCAGCTATATTGTAAACAATGCCTACGTTAGGTTGCAAATAGTTAACCTTGGGACGGTCTAAAATGGCAAATGATTTTTACTTCCAGCATGACAGTGCAGAAGCATTAATGGGAGATAGGAGTTAGTGACCGTGAGTTTCCTGCCACAAAATTGGCCAGCAATCAGCACTGACCACTACAGAACGAGAGAGAGAGAGAAATCTGAATAAGAATATTTAATATGGATTGCATGGCACTAATAGCTTGAAGCTTGTTTATTAACTGTGTCTCCTGTGAACACCAAGAACCTTTATTGTGTCTCGTTGCCAGGGTTGAAACTGTATTACAAAAGCCATTGCTCCAGTGCTACTGTCATACATTGCCAGGACATTTATGCAATGATTTCTAAGTTCAGATTTTGTAGTTTTCCATTCTTTGTATTGCAGCATGAAACCTAGCTGTGTATGGTGCAGTTATTCACTGCGGCGGGCAGTATGAAATGGAGCAGGGGCAGGGAACAGTCTTGTATTTTTTCCTTCTTTTGCTGTTTAATTCAGTTCTATTCAAAAATAAAATTCTTTAAAGGAGATCTGTTTCTATTTTTTTTTCAGCTCAAGCAGTGTCAATTCTCGAGATGCTTTAGCATTTCTCAAATGTTCCATACTTACTTTCTTTGGTGATCCCTCATAGTCTGAGGATGATGATCCTCCAAGTGTAGTGTCTTGGCGATGGGTCCATAGGTGACTGTGGAGACCTATTCTTGTTCCGCATGTTCTTCCGCAGTGAGGACATCGATTTCCAGGTGGAAGGCGGTGCCAGTCAGGGTTGGCTTGACATGTCATCCTCTTGGCACATTTCTCCCTTTCTCCCTCCATTTGTACCTTCAAATTCCACAGCACTGCTGGTCACAGCTGACCTCCAGTTAGAGCACTCAATTATTATTATTATTATTATTTATTAACTTTATTTGTACCCCGCTAGCATCTCCCGAAGGACTCGATGCGGCTTACATAGGCCGAAGCCTCAGAACACAATACAGTAAAAACATAACACGACAATAGTAAACAAGCAAATCAAATAGTTAAGCAAATAACAACGACAATAACAATACAGGACTTCCCAGTTCTCGGTGTCTATGCCAGTTTTTAAGGTTGGCTTTAAGCTCATCTTTAAATTTCTTTTCCTGTCCACCAACATTACATTTCCCGTTCTTGAGTTGGGAGTATAGTAACTTCTTTGGGAGATGGTGATTGGGCATTTGGACAATATGGCCAGTCCAGCGGAGTTGATGGCATAGGAGCATCACTTCAGTGTTGATGGTCTTTGCTTCTTCTAGCACGTTGACATTTGTCCGCCTGTCTTCCCAAGAGATTTGCAGGATTTTTCAAAGGCAACGCTGATGGAATTCTTCCAGGAGTTGAGTGTGACATCTGTAGACAGTCCACACTTTGCAGACATATAGCAGGGTTGGGAGGAAATAGCTTTATAAACAAGCACCTTGCTCTCCCTACAGATGTCCCGCTCCTCAAACACACTGTTTCATTCGGAAAAATGTTGCACTCACATGTTCAGTGCACTTGTGTAACCATCGGAAGATGTATCCAGTTAGATGGGTTGGGAAGGTGAGTTGGCATTACACCACTTGGGTTGCTAGGAACCTGTCCATATCCTTCCTATCCTGCAGGAGGAAGCTTACTGCAATCTTTCATACTGCCCTATATTACACAAACCAACTGCCTTCCATCTGGAAATCTATGTCCTCACTCCATAGGACCATGTGTATCCAGAATAGGTCTCAACAGTCATTTGTGGACCCACCACCAAAACTCTACACTTGAAAAACAATCATATTCGGCTACAAGTGATATAGCCTATGATGATGATCACACAAACCTCCCAATGCCTGTGGTGTGGTACAGTCGGTCACACTGGACAACATGCATGGCTGAAGGAGCATTTAAATGTATATATTAGATGTCTTCACCAGTATAGGGAACATTTAAGGTAAGTACCCAAGGGGCTTATCAGAGTTGTTATGGTGGGTCTAGCTGCAAAAGATTATCCTGCAGTGGAGGTTACCAGTAAGACTTGGGAAGAAACTTAAGATCCTAATGGTGGCTGATGTGGACCCAGTCCGCCAGAATAGCCTCGTTCCATTAGAGATTGCAGTTTAATACACATTTCTCATGTTTTTATGATAGAACCAATTAGGAAATCACATTTATAATACAGGAACAAAAATTGTGTTACAGTTGGCAAAGTGGACAGCAACTGTTTTGAGTACCAATCATACCTTTTCCATCACACCACCATTTAAAACACAACCAGTTGAGTTGCAGATCAGCTCACAGGCAATGCCAGTATAGCAATACCCTCATGGGACATTGTTAAAGTCAACCAGACAGTTCAGGGGTTTCAGTCCTGGGGGACACATCTGGTTACAGTCATGAGGAGTTCCACTGCCCTCAGACAAAACAGCAATTTTAGTAAGACCATGTTCTACTTTCATTGCTACTAGAAACCAAAAAAGTTGGGGAGCATAGGTGCAAGGCATACTATTGCGTAGCAAAAAGTAGTAGTGCTTCTTCTGTTACCCTTTAGGGCATACTACAAACCCATTTCAAGAATTGCCAAACCAGCCAGCATTCATGTTCATACTCTTCTTTCCATTTACAGATAATGCATCATTAGTAGCTGACATGTTTTTAAACATTTAAATTGGAAACTTGTCCTAAGATGATTAAGCAAATGGCTATGGGTCTGATCAGGGAATTGCACCTTAAGTTCTCACCTATTTGATGTTTTGCAAACCTGATTGCAGAGTGAAAACACAAAGGGTGAAGGACAAGTCAAGTGATTGGACCTGCCCCTCGGCAAGCATCAGCTGATGGAAGGGGTAGGACATTAGGATGGAGATTTTGTGCCTTCAAGTTGTTCTGACTTCCAGTGACCTTTAGCCTTTTAAAGTTGTTAAATCAACATTTGGTTTAGTTGCCTAGTAAAGTTTTTAAAGTGTTTAAAAAACTTTACTAAGGCACTTCATATGTGTAAACTGCATATGTGTATCTCTATGTACCTGAATTAGGACCTCCGTCAATATTTTAAAAATAATTGTTAAGTACCAGTTTCATCTAATATTTATCTGCAAATAGTTGGATTTTGTTCTTTCTTTCGGCCACTAAATTTACCAGTTCACATTTTTCATGTTTGAGGACAGATCCAGAGGCCTAAGTGCTTGAACTGGAATGATTTGCAATATGCAAGAGAAGAACTTGCTTCATACTGTATAAAGGCACAGTGGTGAGCAGACGCTTTTGAAGAATCAAATGCAAAATCCATAATCTCAAAAAGTTTTATTTGGGGAAACAGAATGTAAAAAGATCAGTATAGTACAAAACATATTCTATTTCTATATGGTATCTGGAAAGCTAGACATGAAAAAAATAATACTCAGTCACAGTGTGCACTATTCTAAAAGCTGCACATAATGTTACTAGAAAAAATGGCATCGCTCATTTTTATTCATTTGAGGTATACTCCATCATTCATCATAAAAGCTATTTCCTGAACCAAACCGTAATCAAGCTTCATTTATATAGCACAAAATACAAAGTCTTGCTGTTGTTTCCTAGAAGGGCCCCATGATTCTCTTAGTTATTGTATTACCTTCATTGTAGAAGAAAATGTTGGTTGAGTTCCAGAAATAATCTGTGATGTAAAAATGATTTTTAAAAACACTCAGAAGTATTTCAATTACATTTCTGATTAAATAAATAACTGTGAGAAAATAATACAAAGAGTTACTTAAAAAGTAACTGGATACATGCAAAATCATTGTGATACATACCTAGAGAATCTACCTCTAGGAAATCAAAGATAATTTTAAAATAAACAGAAAACAAAATAGAAAAAGATGGACACAGAGTTATATTGGTTCTAATTGGTTCTATTATAGCCAAGGAGGGCTAGCAAGACATGTCATTATAGTTTAGCTAACATGATATTGTGTGTTTCAAAATTCAAATTGTTCAGCAATTTGCCATCTATTAATATGATTACAGCATATGGCATCACCCACATCACCATGCTAAGGCCACATTTACAAGTTGCCTACAGTCTTTGAAGACAAATTCATTGTTCAAACATTTTAGACACGTAGGATATGACAATAAGTGCGAGAAGAAATTGCACCCCTCCTCGTATTTTTTCGGGTACATGTTCCTAAGACACAAGTGAGATACTGGTGTGGTTCCTACATGATTTGGTTATACAAACATACTTTGAAGGGAAGTACAAAAAAGAATTTGAATTTATAACAATGATCTTTTTCAGAGAAAATAGCAATACTCAAAATTACACTGAAATATTTAAATTTATTATTCTACTCCTATGTTTTCTTGTTCTTTGCAACCAAATATTCAATGTTACAGCTTTTTGCTATCAAACCTACCACCATTTCCTGTTCTCATCATTTTTTGCTTTAACATAAATGAATTCTGGAACTTGGTGAAGCAGCAAGGGATACTATTAGTCCATTTCAAATCCTGAATTTTCATAGTTTACTGTATTCTAATCTTAGTAATAAATTAGTAATTGAATGATTTTTATCTGCATAAATTTATGAGTCTCTGAACAATGCATTCCATGGGAAATGATAGAAAACACCAGAGGAAACAAAAATAATCAAACTTGCAGTATATGTTCTTGCTTTTACTGGAGTGACCGAATATTCCCCTCTAAGGTTAGAAACAGCTCCAATTCGGTGCTCCTATTCCGTGCCCCATAGAGAGACACATGTCTAATGTTAGAGGGCTGGCAGTATGATATAGATCAAGAGTGTCAAATTCACTTTCAGTGAGGGCCACATCAGCTTCATGGTTGCCTTCAAAGGGCCATTAAATGGAGAATAACTATACTTTTATTACATACAATTTTATGTACATAATTTTTATTACATAGTGGTTTGTGCTCTTTAGTTTTTACCCATTTTGGATTCCCCAGGTGCTGCTGAATGACAATTTCCATCACTTATGATTACATGCCACATAGACTGGGGATAATGGGAATTGCAACCCAACAACACTTGTGGCTGTGAGGTTGGAGAAAGGTAAGAACAGGCATGGGCAAACTTTTAACTTGGGGGCCACATGGTGGGCTAGAGCAGGTTGGGTAGCCCGGGCAGGGAGGGGGGAGGTCAGGGGGTTGGTCTTTTGGGGGGGGGGTTCACACATGGCAGCTTGACTGGTCCACGGCCATGCCCAGGAAGTCGTGCTCATCAGCCTCTTCCTGGCCTGCACCTCGGCCTCCGCTGCCATGGGACTCAGCTGCTCCTTGCCAGCACACTCCCCTTCTTTTAGGCCCCTGCCCCCGGTGACAAGGAGGGCAGCTCCTCCTCTTCCACCGCCACCACCTGGGCATGCAGCTGCCTAGGGCTCTCCTTCCCTCTCATGTTGTTCTTTCTGAGTGGGAACTTGACCTTGAGAAAAGTGGTGGTGACAGAGGAGCAGGAGGAAGAGGAGGTGTAAGAGGAGCCGCCCTCCTGTTTGCCAGGGGCGGAGGTCTGGAAGAAGGGGAATTGCTGATTCCACGCATGCCAGTGAGGAGCAGCTAAGTCCCATGGAGGTGGAGGCCAAGGTGTAGACCAGAAGAGGCTGGTGTTGCTGCCGTGTGTGACTTCCCTGGTCTCCTCTCAGCATGAGGATGTAGGTAGGCCACCACATCCTCATGCTTATAGGAAGGTGAAAGAGAGGAGGGCTTGAGAAAAGAGTCCCAAGGGCCACATCTGGCCCCCTGACCTGGGTTTGCCCATACCTGGGTTAGAGATATTTTAAAGTCAGACATCATATCCACAAGCCATGTACCTACATCCAAAGCCCACTTTCCTGACTGAACAGAACAAGCCTTTCAGGTGTTACTGTATCACAACTGTCATCAGCTCTCGTTACGATGTCTCATGATGAGCAATACAGGAGCTGTAGTCCAGCATCTGAAGGACCACCTAAAATGACATGGTGGGCCGGATTTGGCCTGTGGGCTTTGTGTTTGACACATGTAGTATAGATGGAGTAAGGAAAACTCTTGATCCACGGAAGCTCTCCCAGTTTTTAGCCACTTAAAAGGATAAGCATTGCAAGACAATATTTACTTTACTGACAGTGAAGTCTACCCTGCTAAGGCAAAAAGAGAACTGAATCACATTTTCTGTGCACCCTAGTGCACTTCTGAATACAACTCCCATAATTCCTCATGATTACCTATGATGCGAATGTACAGCCCAGTATCTGTAAGGCAACACGTTTCTTATACTTAGTTTAAGGCAACATTCATACTACTTTACATCTTGTTAAGTCCAAACTAAGAGATTAGTTTGCAGATCAAAATATACATACATGTTTACATATACTTAGAAAAAATGTGCTAGGGAACTTTTCTGTAGATATTGACTACAGATTTTGGAAAGTTGTAGTCCAGCAGTTCCAGATCAGGAAAGGAAAGAAAAAAAGAGAGAGCGAGAGAGAAAGAGATGAAGTGCACTATTTGTAGACCTTTTGGTTTTTTTAAATATACTTTTCTTCAAAAAAAAATTGATGGAAACATTTGAGAACTATTACATTACAAGGACCGTTCATCATAGTGAACATAAGAAAAAAATACCCACAAGGCTCTTCATTCTGATCTTTGTATGTACCAAATATATATAAATGTGAGGCCTTCCTGTGGATGTCATGACCCAAAGATTGAGTTATTTTCCAAGACCATTCCATCAAAATGTGCAGTTCTATAAACCTGCTTCTTAGTCAGCCAAGTGAGCATGATAATTGTAGTGTCTTAGAAAATACGTGATTACTTATTCCACTTTCTTTGGTTCTTGAATGCTTCGAAGCAGAATGAAGGGCAGGAGGAACAAAGAGGCACAGACCGTGAAACAAACTTCAGCTCCTGCCAACCAGTATACTGGAAAGAGAGAAGAGAAGCTATAAAAACACTGTTAACAATTGTGAAAAATGGAAACTATCCCAAAGTGACCTTCATGAAACAGTTCAGAAAAAAACTGAATGAGAATAATCTGATCGCTCCCACAGGAAGCAACTTGTTCTCTCCAGCCTAGGAAGTTAACACCGATCTGTTGGGAAGGGCAGAAATCTCTACTCATCAACAACATCCACAGAGTTCCGGAGAACTGGTGAAAAGCAAACTATGACCATCTGAGACAGGAAATGCCTGATTAGGTTCCTAAAGGTTTACAGTAATAAAGTCACAGGGATAGGGGAATAGCTGCAGTGGGAGACATGGCTTTTCTTGGAGCTTGTTTCAGCTTGTTGTCCACAGATATGTCAACATCAAGTTGAAGACATTGAGGAGGGAAAGAGTATGAAGCATAAGTGGGAAAGGTAAGCCCTGACACTTTCACAGGCAAGAAGAGCCTCCTCCTGCCTCACAGGCTTCAATTCTGGGGTCCCCAACTAAGCTCTCCCTTCCTCCTTGTCCCTTTTCTCTCTCTAAGCCAAGCAACGGCATCAATTTTCTAGTGAAAAATGATCCAGCTCAGAAGATGACACCTTTTCCTTCCCTCGCCTCTTCTCTGTTGGCTGTATCCTCTCAGAAAGTTATGGGGACCCCAACATAAAGAGATATGGAGACCCCACCTTTTGGGTCACGACCCACACTTTAGGAAACTTTGTGCTAGAGTAAGTTCAGTTTCACACAAGATAGCAAATGCAAAGTAGCCCAGTACTGAGACAGTTCCAATCGGAACGTGTGCCTGAATGTAGACATGCACATACAAATCAACCCACACAGGGATAAAAATATATCTGCATTTCTCTACGTCTATAATCAGTTGGTCCAAAACATAGCTTTGAAAGTTTCAGTGAGCAACTGAATAACAAATGAAAACCAAATTAACCCAAAGCCAGAGTGCCAGCTGCTGCCATGGTTTCTCAAGACTGCTGCAAGCTTGGTCTTTGTTGCTGAGTTTTAGTATTCTTTACTCTCCCTTTTCTCTTTACCTTCAGCATTATATCAATCTGCTGCCTTCTCTTGCCTTTTTTGCTTCTCCTGCAACCATTTCAACTCAATTTAGCTGACCAACTCACCTAGTTTTACCAATCTTTTTCAAGCCAAACTGTTCCTCGTCTCTCCTTTTCCCCTCCCACATTTCACAAGGCCCTTAAATAGAAGGCATGGTGCCTTATGAGCAAAGAAGTCGTATTTTATGGATTCGAGAGAGGCTGAAGAACTTGACAAAGATAAAAGACTTCCTCTGAGATATTTCCTCTTTAAAAAAATACCTCCTGTGCCCAATCCCAGAAGTACTGCCTTACTTTGGGACAGTTCAACAAGGGAAGGGAGGGGTGTTCAACTAAGGCATCAAAGTGTTTCCATGTTTCTTTCTTGAAATAAACCTCTAGTAAAACAGCATTAGGGCACCCTCGTGGTCCAGCAGGTTAATCCGCTGAGCTGCTGAACTTGCTGACTGAAAGGTTGTCGGTTTGAATCTGGGGAGTGGGATGAGCTCCCACTGTTAGCCCCAGCTTCTGCAAACCTAACAGTTCAAAAACATGCAAATGTGAGTAGGTCAATAGGTATCACTTCTGCGGGAAGGTAATGGTGCTCCATGCAGTCATGCTGGCCATATGACCTTGGAGGAGTCTATGGGCAATGCCAGCTCTTTCAGCTTAGAAATGGAGGTGAGCACCACCACACAGAGTTGAACCCAACTAGACTTAATGGCAGTGGAAACCTTTACCTTTTTTTAAAAAAACAGCATGGTCAGGGAAAATCTAGCTGTAAATTACCTCAAGCTATCCCTAATATCAGACAGAGAAAAACACAAAGCATGTCAGAAGGAAAATGAAATAATCTAATCCCCATCCAGAGCTAAGAATGGTCATTTGTGTACTGTGGGATACTTCCTGACCTGGATACATGTCAATGCTTCCAGTTACAATTTTTCCTTGAAGGAACCCTGACTATTGATAGCAAGGACATATGACTTCTATTTTGCTCCTTCAAAGTTAACTGAAAAACAAGAATAGTTCCCAATTGAGGAACCAAAAATAATTCCTATTCTTGATTCTGACTAGAAATGAGTCGGTAAATCAATCTATGTGTTAACTCATCCTCCAATAAATGATTCAATAGGTCTACTGTAGCTGAGCCAAAGCAACAGGATGCCACCCCTTTTGTCCAAATTATTTAGAAATTATTTTATCAACTGAATCAAAGAGTTGGAAGTAACCACAAGGGCCATCCAGTCTAACCCCATGCCATGTAGGAACACACATGTATGCTGCTTCGAGCTCCTTTGGGAGGCAGGATTTATAAATAAAGTTTCATTCATCCACACACTCAAAGCAGTCATGATAGGTGGTCATCCAACCTATGCTTAAACCTCCAGAAAAAGAGACACCATTACGCTCTGAGGCAGCATATTCCACTGCTGAACAACTCATACCATCATGAAGTTCTTCCTAATGTTTTGGTGGAACCTTTTTTCCTGCAATTTGAATCTACTGCTCTGTGTCCTAGTCTCCAGAGCAGCAGGAAACAAGCTTGCCCCCTCCTCAAGGTGTCATCCTTTCAGATATTCAATTGTGGCTATCACATCTCTCAGCCTTCTTTTCTCCAAGTTATCATAACAGCCTGTGTTCCTTTTAAGGAACCACGACATTTGGGCACTTGAAGACCCCTGAAAAAAATACCTGTGGCCGCCGTGATTGGCCCAACAGCTCTTGCCAGGGCTCCCAGACTCCTTAAGATGCCCATTACCGTTCCTTTTTGGCTTATCAATCCTGTGAAAACAAGAGGTAGAAATCAGCCTGTTTTTCTTGTCTTCCATTGGCTTATTTTTCATAAAAGGTAGGGTTCCATACCTTTTATGAAAGGCGCAGCTGGCTAGGAGTCAGCTGCATTAAGATCACTACTGACCAAAAGGTCATGAGTTCGAAGCCTGCCCGGGTTGGAGTGAGCTTCCGACCAATTCTGTGTAGCTTGTTGTTGACTTTTGCAACCCGAAAGACAGATGCATCTGTCAAGTAGGAAATTTAGGTACCACTTTTGTAGGGAGGCTAATTTAACTAATTTAGGAGGCCATAAAAAATCTCCAACAAGCATGCAGGGAATGAGGAAGTATTTCATCAGTATGGTAGATTGACGATGAAGTGACAGCTTCCCTGGTGGCCAGAAAAAAAAAAGTTGGAATGTTAAATAGCCTCTGAGTGTCTGTCTATATGTGTTGTGTGTCTACAGCATTGAATGTTTGCCAGGTATATGTACATTGTAATCCGCCCTGAGTCCCCTGCGGGGTGAGAAGGGCGGAATATAAATACTGTAAATAAATAAATAAATATGCTTGAACCTCTCCACTTGAACATTTCAGCCATTTTCTTCTTGATAAAAACATGGAAGTCATAACAGAGAAAACGATGATCATTTTGCATTTCTAACTTAGTTCTTCAGCTTTTCCCAGCAAAGGAAAAATGAATGCTGGCGACATGGAGGATGCTACTTTAAATAAAACAAGTAAAATGAATGCAATGTGTTGCTAATCTTTATATGTGTGTTCCTAAAAAGAAAGTAGTTTAACACTAAAATACATGTGTTAAGGCCCATGGGCCGAATCCAGCCCGTCAAGTCCCCTTGGGGAGAGAGAGCAGTATAGAAATAAATAATAATAATAATAATAATTATTATTATTATTATTATTATTTTATGTAGCCCTCCAGATGTTGGATGACAACTGTATTCATCATCACTACACGTCATGACTAGAGCTGATGGGAGGTGTGATACAGAAACATCTGGAAGGCTGAAGTGTGTTCTATTTATTCAGGACAGTGGTGTTTGAATTTGATGCAAGACTTGTGGATATGATGTCTCCTTAAAACATCATTTAACTTTTCCCCAAACCTCAGAGCCTGTTGGACTGCAGTTCCCATTATTCCCAGTCCGCACAGTGGGTAATCAAAAGTGATGGGAGTTGTCATTCAAAAACATCTTGGTACTCAAACTGAGTAAAAACTAAAGAGCACTGAACACTATATAAAAATTATAGTTGGCCCTCTATCCAGAGAGATCCAATGGCCCTTTGAAGGCAACCATAGGGATGATGTGGCCCTTGATTTATTTTTTCCGTGTCAGGGGTGACTTGAGAAACTACAAGTTGCTTCTGGTGTGAGAGAATTGGCTGTGTGCAAGGACATTGCCCAGGGGACGCTCAGATGTTTTACCATCCTGTGGGAGGCTTTTCTCATGTCCCCACATGAGAAGCTGGAGCTGACAGATGGGAGCTCACCCCACTCCCCAGATTCGAACCACCGACCTTTTGGTCAGCAGTCATGCCGGCACAACAGTTTTACCCACTGGGCCATTGGGGGGGGGGGGCATGATTAAAATGAGTTTGACACTCCTGCCTTAGATTTTAAGGGCACTACAAATCCTAAAGGTACTATTTAAGCAGGATCAACTTGGATGGGAGATCACTTGGGAGATCACCAAGGAACAATGGGCGCTGTTGCCTCTTATTTCAGAGGAAGGAACTGGCAAAACCATATCTGAGTGTTCCTTGCCAAAGAAAACCCCATGGAATCTCATGGGGTTGATGTAACTTGACAAGTGACCTGAAGGCAAAGATACATTTCTAACAATGTAGTATTTCAAATTGTAAAGGATATGAGCTTTTCAAAAGCACTAGCTTTTGGAATTCCACATATCTGTCAGAATGAGGACAGCGAATGAGGCCACTTCCTCCCAAGCCTCAGGCTGAAATAATAGCTGACATATCCATATCTGTTGACCTCATGTTCCTGCAAAGTAGTGGGTTGAGGAGGGGGAATCTGTAGTACAGCCAAACTGTATGTTTCTTTTTTCCCCTCTACTTTTCCTGGTCTTGGCCAAGACAAACACACTCACACAAGATTTGCAAGTTGAGGGAAACCGACAGGCAGTTGTGTTTGTGTGTGTAACTACACAATTTCTCTTACCAACATATATCTCTACGCTAATTAGATGTAACTAAAATAAAAACATATATACATAAATTAGTTTTAAAAGAGGATTTCCTTCTTCTCTTTCATCGGTTACTCTATAGTTCCATATTTTTTATTTCACTTTATATCCAGAAAGTTTTTATTTATTGTGTAAGAAGTGAACTGACGGTACAGTTGCAATGTATTTAAAAACACAAAGTTAAAAAATGGCATTATACTAAATGTCATTTGACCAGTAGCTCACCACTTGGAGTGCCTCTCAAGTGCAGACTTTATAGATGACAATGGAACAATCAGAGTATGTTACTTCCTACAAATACTGGAATACTATCCGCAATTCACATTATAATTTGTAGACAGCTGATCCTCTCGCACCAGAAGCAACTTGCAGCATGCAACCAAACAAACAAACAAACAAACAGACCTTTTCAGGACCAACTATGACAATCCAGAAAGTTTACTTCTCTCTATTTTTATATTAACAAATGAATATTCTAACAGTTTATATCTCTAAACTTTTACATAAAGCATTTTACTCTCCCTCAAATATAAATTAAAAAGGTTTATTTTAAGAATTTGTCCAGTGTTTTAATTCTTCAACAAAATTATTACCTTGCTCATGTCTATTAATTCTACATCTTCATTGTCCAATCTTCCATAGTTGGCTTTTTCCATTATTTGAGCATAGAGGGTTCTTGCTACTATTAACATGTACTACAATAGTCTCTCATGCTCCTTTTTATTTGATCATCCTACTGTCCTAGTAGTAGGAGTTCTAGTTTAAAGCTGATTCTTAAGAATTTCTTGGATCACCTTGTCAATTTGTCTCAAAATCGTTTCTGGTCTTTTTACAGGTCCACCACATATGGTAGCAGGACACTTCTTGAACTTCAATTTTCCAAATAATTTTATTTGCTCCTTTACACATTTTTGTGTTTAAAAACTTATGCAGGATGAGGCTTTACAAGGAAAACAGGCAGTTGTGTGTACATGTGCATGCATGTGTGCACTTTCAAGCTTCCTGTTGACTTATGGCAACCCCAGAAATTTCATAGTTTTCTTAAGCAAAGGAATCCTCAGAGGGGGCTTTACTAATTCCTTCCTCTGCAATACAGGCTGCAGTACCAGGAATCCATTGGCAGTCTCTCATCCAAGTACTAATCAGAGTTGACTCTGCTTATCTTTGAAGATCAGATGAGATGTAGAGGCTCTAAAGCAGTGGTTTCCAACCTTTTTTTGACCAGGGACCACTTTGACCAAGAACCACTTGACCAGGGACCATGTGACCAGGGACCACTTTGACCAGGGACCACTCTCCAACATTAGTACCAAAAGCGTTACGAATCAGTTTTTGGCCAACTTTAGATTTGGGTTTGTTATTTGGGGTGCTGATTCAGAAAATTGCATTGGATAGGCCACATCAGCTCTAGTTTCTGATACAGAACATATGCCACCCAGTAGTCGCAATCTGCTCGCCCACAGAAAACCATATTTAATCATCTCGAGCTGATGTGGTAGTTACTTTTACCTTTCATGGGTAGTCAAGCCTCTCCCCTCCCAACATCCCCGTTGTCTTGGCAGTATAAGAGGGTTTTGTGAGACCAATCGCTCTCGTTGCTACATGGTTTCAAGGCAGCGGTGTAGTAATGGTGAGGCCGCAGACCATATTTTCGTTCTTATGGACCACTGGTGGTCCATGGACCAAAAGTTGGGAATCACTGCTCTAAAGTATGTAGGCTCCTCTGCTGACCAAAGGAAGCTACAAATCGGGCACATGGTAGCTACTCAACAGAACCAAGCATGTTACTCCTACCCTTCCTGAAGTTTGTGAAATCCTGGTAGTATCAAAATGATTTCTATTTCATTATTGACCTTTTAACTTTATTCTGGATTTCTAGGTGTTTATCAAAACTATACTTTAACAGGAAGCAAAACGTAGCTCAGGGGAAATCCTAACTTGTGTTATAACCGTCAATGGAACGATGAGGTTTACTTTTGACACAATTCAAAGGATGCATATGCTGCCAGGTAACATCCTGGTGTATTTACTGTCCTCACTGTTGTTTCACACCAAAGGAATGTGGTAAGAAATTTGTCACAGCTCACCCTGACCCCTTTTTCCGGTATGGGTTTTCCACTTGCTTTGAATCACTGCAGGAAGTGGGTATGGTTAATGGTGTGTATGATGACCATAGGACTGTGGTGGCTCCCTCTTCCTGGTCTCCTCCTTTCTGTTTCCATTTTGATTTTTGTGGGTGTCCAGCCATGAACTCCCTTGCTACCAAGCAAATAACTATTTAGTAATGGCAAGCACAAACCCCCAATTTATTCACTTGTTTCAGAGTTTTATCCTTAAATTCTGGTGCATCTTCACCTGATTGGTGCTAAGGTTGGATTTTATCACCTATATATATTAGCTAGATGACCAGATGACTTTGGGTGTCGTATTTTGCTGTTTCACCATTTTGGCACAGTACCTTCTCACAGAGCTCTGTTTTCCTTGCATTCTTCCTAGATGAAGCGTATGTTGTGGTCCATGGCAACACAATGTTTTGTTACATAAAACCCTGTTTCCCAGTGGTAATTTGAGTTCTTCACCAAGCCAGCATGACATGGAACTTGGCTGGTCTAGGGATCCATGGTGTCAGGATCTTAAAACAGTGAAAACTCGACCTAAGAGCATCCTGACTTAAGAGCATTTTGAGTTAAGCACTCACTCAACCAGTTTTGCATTGACATAAGAGCAGTGTTTTAAGTTAAGAGCTAGTACCAGAGGGAGTGCTAGCACAACAGTACAAGCCTTAAGGGAGCAGCCTCTGTGCCTCATGTTTCTTGTCCGCTTTGGGAGTTTGTTGTCTGCTTTGCTCTTGTCTGCTTTGAAGAACTTTGGGTTAGTTGATTTTGTATGGTTTTTATTCCTGGTGTGTTTGGCTTCATGAAGGGGGTGAGAGCAAGAGAGGGAGGGAGGCTGGAATGAGTACAGTAAGAAGAAAATGACGCTTCTGCCTCTTCACTTTGTGCTTCCTTGCCACAAATTTATGCTTTTATCATTGCACCATAACTTTGTATTTCTACCAGTTGATCTTTCTTTTTTTTTATTGTTCCATGTGACTGTGCAGGTTTTGCCTTGCTGCCACACTGAGCAACACACATTTTGTGGCCTCAAATGTGCTTCCTTGCCACAACTTTGTGTGCCTACCTTTTTAAAGTTGATCTTTGTTTTTATTGTTCCATGTCAATGTGCATATATATATATATATATATATATATATATATATATACACACACACACACACACACACACACACTATATATACACACACACACACACACACACACACACACACACATATATATATATATATATATATACACACACACACATATATACATATATTATATACATAATAAATTCCCATTAGGGCTTGGAAGGAGGAGGTAAAGGCTATATACTGCTATTTATAAAGTAAATTCTTATTTACAAACATGTAACAAAAATTAGGGGGAGGATTCAAAGAGCGGAAATTGATTAACAGCATTTCAGTGGGGAAATCTGCTTTGAGGTAAGAGTGATTTGAGTTAAGAGATCTGTCACGGAACAGATTAAACTCTTAACTCAAGGTATCACTGTACTAAGTAATTCCAGCCTGTCATTTTTGTATCTGGCACATGATGAATCATTTAGTTGTCTCTCCCAAACTTGCTTTTATTTCTCTGCAAGGATTCAGGGTGAGATCTTTAGTTCCAGGCTGCAACCCAGGATGCCCAACACAAAATTGTAAACATTATGGCATTTATGTTTGTTTGGTTTTTTTTAATAATTTGATTGCGTAGTTTGCAAGAGCATACTTTGTAGATGACAATGGAACAGAGTATGTTACTTTCTACAAATATTGGAACATTATCCATAATTCACATTAAAATTGCAAACCTTCAAGCCAGAAGACCTGCTTGATGATTTTAAAAGATCCTCCGAATGAGGTGGCACATAATTAGGATTGTGACAGCTTTTTTTGTTGATTTGTAGTGGTAAATATCAAAAAAAATATGCACAGACCTTTTCTTTCTTTTTTGTACATCAGTTATTGTTAGTGTTCAGACATTTTGTGTTGTCAAAGACAATCCTTCTTTTAATGTGGTCCATTAAAATGTGTAAGGCAAAGATCTGACAGAACTCCTCTGGCTGTGAGGATTCATATTCAATATACTGTTGAAACAACAATTGGAAGAGGAAGGGGCTGATTAAACAGCCACTCACCATAGCCGGACACCACTGTAGACAGAGTAGGAACAACAACTGCAGAAGCTGGAAGCAAGTTAAAGATGTCATTAAACCAGTAAATCTAAATATCTAAGTGAAAAGATATGCATATATGACAGACAAGAAAAGATTATATGACAGACAACCTTCATTTTCATGGATTGCTATGTTGAAAACCAGTCAATGTTTACTTTGCTTTCCTTGCAAAGTACTGCCAACTATGGATCGTTGGGGGCTAATATTCTGTAGTTCTCTAGGAAGTGTTCTACAAAGACTGCCAACAACTAAAAAACGCCCCAGCACAAAAAGTGGCTCGCTTGGGGTTCAAAACACAACGGTTTTCAATGTCGAACTGTGTAGATAAGCCCCTTAGTGAATTGCATCTCCTAGAAGCTTCCCCCCAGAAATAGGGAGAGGCCAAAGGGCACAAAGACAGCTTTGGGAGCCACAAGGCAGCAAGGCCCACAGTCTGCCCAACTCTCTTTTATAGTTTGAAAAGCATCTTGGTGAATGAAACATTCACCACCACCACTGAAAGTGAGACGTTTTCCTCAATGTCATTAGTGTGAGGATTTGAAAAGGGACGCCGTGATGAAATGGGTTAACTGGAAAGGCATGTGTCAGCAGCTGATTGGCTGAGAATGCCAGGGGCCAGAGTTCTGACTGGCTGCTGTCTCTGGCTTACTGCTGAGACTAACGGTTTTAACTGCTACTTTTCAGTTTGGACAGTGAAGAGAGTGCTGACTGAAAGCAATCAGGAAGCCTGATCATTTTAAGGAATGAAGCATATTTTAAAGACTGTTTAAAAGGATTATTTTATTCCCTCTATTCTCTGTGTGAATTTAGAGAGAATGCTTTATATTTTGTTGCCCTGTTTGAACTTTTGAACTGAAGTAAAGATACTGTTACTTGTAACTCAAGCCTGAGTGACACTTTATTATACTGCAGGGTATATCTTAGTTTAAAAACGGTGGTAATGCTTTTATTTATTTTTTTATTTATTTACTACACTTTTATTCTGCCCTTTTCAGCCCGAAGGCAACACAGGGCAGTGTACAGACTGGCAAAATTAGATGCCGAACACACATAAATACATCATTTAAAACAGGCTAAATCATATAATAAAATTCATAATAAAACAGTTTAAAACTATAAAAATCAAAGACTTCCGGGTTAAAATCTATGTCCATTTGCATAGTTAAGCCGTTCCATACTCGTTCACAATATTGAGTTACAATGAGGTTCGAAGAGCCAAGTTTTCACTGTTTTCCTAAAGGTCAGGAGGGAGGGGGGCTGATCTAATATCTCCAGGAAGGGAGTTCCACAGCCGAGGGGCCACCACTGAGAAGGCTCTGTCTCTCATCCCTGCCAAGCGCGCCTGTGAGGCAGGCGGGAGCGAGAGCAGGGCCTCCTCAGATGATCTTAAATTCTTGGAAGGTTCGTAAAGGGAGACACATTCGGATAGGTAAGTGGGCCAGAACCGTTGAGGGCTTTATAGATTAAAGTCAGCACTTTGAATTGTGCCCAGTAGCAAATTGGGAGCCAGTGGAGCTGGCGCAACAGCAAAGTTGTGTGCTCCCTGAGCGCCACTCCTGTAAGTAGCCTGGCTGACGCCCGCTGGACAATTTAAAGCTTCTGAACAGTTTTCAAAGGCAACCCCACGTAGAGCGTGCTGCAGTAGTCTATGCGAGATGTAACCAGAGCATGGACTACCGTGGCCAGGTCAGACTTCCCAAGGTACGGGCGCAGCTGGCGCACAAGCTTTAACTGTGCAAATGCTCCCCTGGTCACTGCTAAAACCTGGGTTTCCAGGCTCAGCGATGAGTCCAGGATCATGCCCAAGCTGCAAACCTGCGTCTTCAGGGGGAGTGTAACCCCATCCAACACAGGCTTTAACCCTATGCCCTGTTTATTCACATTTACCAATCCCCACAATTAGCAATGGAGAAGAATCACTATTTTCTGAGACGCCATAATTTTGCAGGGAGGGAGATGCCAGAACAGGGTTAATATCATAATAAATTCCCATTAGGGCTTGGAAGGAGGAGGTAAAGGCTCAATATAAGCTGAAACAGCACAATCTAGTAATATGTTTAAACATCACCCTGGCAACTACCAGGAAGGCCATTAGCATGAGAAGAAACTGTTCTGCACTTCCTGCAAGACTTTTTATAAGCAAAGAAAGCAGCTTTTCTAACTTTAAGCTCTCGGCATTAATAAATTCAATCAAACTATGCAACACATTTAACATGCTTCACTTAACTTTCAAGCTGGGAAAGATGTTTGAGGAGCTCACCAAAAGAGTAGAGGAACAATCCAGTGCCCAGAACGATCACATTATTACTCCAGCCAATTAAAAGGAAAGCAGGAACCAACAGCAGTATTGCCTACCAAAAGGAAAGGGAGTGGAGAGAGAATGACAAATCCCATGGTTTTCATCACGCAACGGTCTTGTGAAAGAGGATTTCTCATTTGCCTGAATTATGGTACTTTTGAGACCAGGTGGCTCACTGCCAAAGGGATGGCCTGTTCTGCTTTGGTAAGACTTTGCCTGAAATATTGTATCCAGTTCTGGCTCCACAGCTCAAGGAGGATATTGACAAGCGGGAAACTTTTTTTTCCAAGGAAAGTAAAAGGCCTGCAAACTAATCCATATAACGATGATTATGGGTCCATCTAGATTATTTATTATTTACTTCACTTGTATACCACTTTTCTCGCCCCGGTTTGTGTGTGTGTGTGGAACAACTCAAAATGGTTTCCAACATATTTATGGCAAAATTTAATGCCTCACATATATATGAAAGCTAACATAAAACCATAATAACATATACAGCTATCAATTAGATCATAAAAATGTAACATTTAAACATGGAGTTAAAATATATTAATATAAACATTTATTTATTTATTTATTTACAACATTTATATGCCACTCTTCTCACCCTGAGCGGACTCATAAGATATATATATATATATATATATATATACAATATATTATATTATTAGCATAGTACAATATCAGTATTAAATATTACTATATTGTACTATACCAATATATTGTAATATTATTAGTAATATTACATGTAATATATATACCATATATTCTGGTGCATAAGACTACTTTTTTTTTCTATTTCTGTCCCCTCTTTTTCTTTTTTTTTTTTTCTTTCTTTCTCTCTTTCCTTTTCTTCTCCTTTCTTTTTTATTTCTTTCTTCCCACTGTTTTGTACATTGTTATTGGAAAAATCAATAAAAATTTATATTAAAAAAAAAAAAAGACTACTTTTTAACCCACGAAAATCTTCTCAAAAGTCAGGGGTCGTCTTATACGTGGGTTGTCTTATATGCAGGAGTAGTCTTATACATGGGGTAGTCTTATACATGGGGTAGTCTTATACATGGGGTAGTCTTATACACGGCAGTAGCCTTATAAATAGGGGTCATCTTATACGTGGGAGTCGTCTTATAGAGTGGTTGCTGAAACTTCCAATTGGATTGGAGAATCTGTGGTTGCCGCATATGGTGGGGGGAGCATAATAGGAAAATTACCATATTGAAATCAAACCTGATGCTTTTAAAAAATTTATTTGGTGTGCGTTGGAAGAGGGGAAGTATTACATGGCGAATATATCCCAAACTCTATATTTTAACTGGAAAAGTTGGGGGTCGTCTTATACGCCCAGTCGTCTTATATGCCGGAATATACTAATTATTATATATTATTATTATTATTATTATTATTATTATTATTAACTTTATTTGTACCCCGCTAGCATCTCCCGAAGGACTCGATGCGGCTTACAAAGGCCAAGGCCTCATAAAACAACAATACAACAATACACATAAACCATAAAGCAAATCAAAACATTAAGCAATAACAGTAAACAGTAAAAACAATACACCGTAGCACAATAAAACTAAGGCCGGGCCAAGTGTAGATGGGTACAGATTAAAAGTGCTGAGTATGACAGTTGAAATATAAGGATTTTTGAGTAAGTGCAATGTGCGGACAATCTTAAGTCTCTAGTAAAGTGCTTTTGGGACATGTTGCTGGGGTTTCCTATTCTGCATTACATTTAAATATTATAATGTTATAAACATTAAAATCACATAATCCAAAAAACATGGTTCAAGGCCAGTCCAAATCCCTGATCATTTCTTGTATTGCTTACTGCCCAAAGGCTTAGTCCCATAGCCAAGCTTTTACTTTTTTCTGAAGGCCAGAAGGGAGGGTACTGATTTAATTTAATTGGGGAGGGAGTTCCATAGTTGAGGAGCCACCACTGAGAAGGACCTGTCTCTCGTCCCCATCAGTTGCATTTGTGAAGGAGGTGAGACCGAAAGCAGGGCTTCCCTGGATGATCTTAACCTCCGAGATGGTTCACAGAGGGAGATACGTTGCTCATAGAGTGGAGCTCAAAGCCGATTTGAGACTGCAGTGGTCACAAAATGCTCAAGACCAATGCAAGCTGCAATGTAGATTTAAACAGGAAGCAGCACATTTAAAAAGTCACAAGAACGTCCTATGTAAGCCATGTAATGTGCTGCAGCTGATACTCAAAACCACCACACCACTTTATAGTCTTTAGTTACTGACTTTGTAGTTTCTCTATAAATATTAAGTTAATTTAATTTTCCAAATAACCTGTTCAGAAAACTTCTGAAGGCCTGCGTGTGTGAAATTGAAGCAAGAACACTTTTTAAATTCTAAAGACAGCGCTTACCATTTTTGCAGCCTTTAATTCATTTCCTGGCTTGATTTTTCGAGTGTAGCCTCCCTGGATCACAGCCATTGATATTCCAATGAAGAAAAACATCTTTCCCTGTTCCATGCTAAGCCAGAACGGGGCAGGCGAAGCCAAAAGAGAACAAAAGGTCATGCATGTGTCAGCCAAGTTTGAGAAGGAATGCGATAGACATGCAACCTCCAACCCCACCCTTCATCAGCCCCCAGCATCCCCCCTAATGAAATCTAACTAAGGCACAAAAAACACAGCAAAATGGATTGCTCCTTTTTCCAAAGCAAAAGATTTAAATAAAACAGAAAGAGGTTGCTATTTCTTCTCAAATCATCACACATTCATTCATTCATTCATTCATTCACAGGAAATCCCTTCTCAGACGTAACTCACGCAACCATTGCACTTGGGCTACAGCTACAAAGCATTGCTAAACAGATTCTTACCAGGTCTCAAATATATAAATATGGAATAAACAGTTTGCTTGGGTTAATTTTTATATAGAAAAAAACCCCAGAGCTATTGTGTGAGAAGTAGAATAATTTACCTATAATGAGTAATGAGTGTAAAGATTTGAAAAAGAACGCCATGATATGGTGGGTTAACTGCAGAGAGATGTGTCAGCAGCTGATTGGCTGAGTGTGCCAGGGTTCTGATTGGCTGTTGCCTCTGGCTAGCTACTGAGGCCAACGGTTCTAACTGTCATTCTGCCATTTGTTCTCTGCTTTAGTGACGAGAATGTGCTGGCTGCCAACTATCTTAAGGACTGATCATTTTATGGCATGAGGCATATTTCAAAGACTATTTTATTCCTCTGTTCCCTGCTTGAATTCAAAGAGACCAATGTATACATTGTTACCCTGTTTGAACTTTTGAATCAAAGCAAAGATACTGTTATTTGTTTCACAAGCCTGAGTGACATTTTATTATACAGCAGGATATATCTTGGTTTAAATACTGTGCAAAGCTTCCACTTATTCTGCTTATACACATTTACCAACCCTCACAATGACGATGCAAGAAAGTTACATTCCAGAAGTGATGCAATGAGTAAGAGGGAAGTTATTGTACTGGTGTCGTGAGTAACAGGTGATTGTTACTTTTATGTTACTTTTAAAAGATATTTTCTTCTAGCAAAATAAAAAAAACAGCACAGTGAACAATGGAATGTGTTATATACACTATAATGACTTCAGCTATTTATCTATCCATCTTATCTATACACATAATAAAAACGAAAATATATATGTATGTGGCTGGAGTATCCACTTACACACACAAGTGAGCGCCATGAACTTGTCCAAGAGCCCTGACAGTGTCCTCCACAAACACTATACTGTCCACCATCCAAGTGAAGGCTTTCATACAGGGACCATTTCATCCTAGATTTTATGTGTTTCCTCCACCACAGACACCCCAGTGTTTCTTACTATCTTGAATTGTGTGAAATTTGCATAAACCCACCCACTGCCTCTCCCTTAACCCTTTCCTATTCTTTTTTATGGCACACGGCAAGCAAAGGAATTGATCAACAACTGTACATACTAAAGCGGTTTGGGGAAAATTCACCATGGTTTATAGGAGTTGTAGGTACTGGGATGTGCAGTTCACCTGCAATCTAAGAGCACTCTGAACTCCACCAATGATGGCCCTGGAACTAACTTGGCACACAGAGCCCTCATGACCAACAAAACATACTGGAGGTCTTTGGAGGTCTTTATAGTTGTAGTTCACCTACATCCACAGCGTACTATGAACCCAAACAAAGACGGATCTGGACCAAACTTGGCATGCATACCTGATGTGCCCAAATTTGAATACTGGTGGGTTTTGACGGGAATTGGCATGGATATTTTGGAGTTGTAGGTACTGGGACTGATAGTTCACCTGCAATCAATGAGCACTCTGAACTCCACCAAAGATGGAATTGGACCAAACTTGACACACAGAGCCACCATGACCAGCAAAAAATAGTGGAAGTCTTTGGGGAAAATTCACCTTGATTTGGGGGAGTTGTAGTTCACCTCCAGAGAGCATTGTGAACTCAAATACTGATGATATGGACCAAACTTGGTACATATACCTCATATGTTGAAATTTGATTATTGGAAGGGTTTGGGGGGAACTAACTGACCTTCCTTTCTGGGAGATGTAATTCGCCCACAACCAGAGAAACTGTGACCCCCACAGATGATGGACCTGGACCAAAATTGGCACACAGAATCCCCATGACTAACTCAACCTTCTGGAGGGGTTTGAGGGGACTGACCCTCCATAGTGGGAGTTGTAGTTTATCCTAAAACCAGAGAGCACACTGAACACCATCGATGATGCATCCAGAGCAAACTTGCCCAACATAACAAACTTTAAGTCCTGATGGAGTTTCTCGGGTTTAACTTGGCATGATGTCAGTTGTTAATCTACAACCTTATGCATTTTGTACAATTAAAAAATAACCCAGGCAACACCAGGTACCCAAGTTAGTAAACAATAAATACTTTTTAAAAGTAACATAACAAAATCTCTTAGGGAACTTTCCACATTACATTAATTGAAAATAATAATAAATTCATGCTGTATTTCTGCAAAACAAAATAACAGTAATTTGATTTCTTTTTAGAGATGCGTATTTTCTGCAAATTTGCAGTATTGATTAAAAGGATTAGACTGGTTCTCAAGTCAGCACTTTTTCAAAGGTAAAATGACTGCTTATCACCTTATTCCAGGCCAGGACTTCTTAAACTTTTCCACTCGTGGCGCCTTTTGGCCTGAGGCATGTTTACATGACCCCAGGTATATAAGTATATAAAATTGGTATAAAAATCAAACTTTTACCAATAACACGTCAGTATTTGCAAGTTTTGCCAAACAGGCCGATTTTTGTTTTTATGAAGTACAGCTGAAGCATCCTCTGCAGAATCCACTGTAAACACTGCACAAGAGATTAATGTAAATTAAAATAGTCACTTGTTGACATTCTAAATACTTTTACTGTGGCCAAATTTTTCATGACCCCAACATTGATCTAAAGGAACCCAATCTGGGCTCAGGATCCACAGTTTAAGAAGCAGTGGTCCAGACAAGTACAACATTAAAAGGAAGTTCAAATCAGGAGATGCAAAACAGAATTTCAAGCTGTTGAGAGACGCAAGTCTGCAAGTTCTGTTTCGAGGAATCCCTTTGCTGATTCTTAATATGATTTTCTGTTGTGCAAACCAGTTATGAGCCTCTTGGTACCTGCTTCTGACCTTGGTGAGGCAGAAGTGTCACTTGATCAGATCTCAAGTTGGGGCGGAAAGCATATAAATACGTATAATTGCTTTCCAGCAAGTAAATGATTGAAGGTGATCCTACACCTGCCACTATTAAGGAAGCAGTTTCCACTCGAGATAACAATAGTTGCTTTCTTCTAAAGAAAGATTAATAGTAGAGACATTTCCTGAATTTTCCCAAGGGGTGGGAATTGAACAAAGTATATAACAGAGTGCAGCTAAGCAAATACACGGCAGACTTCTTTTATAGTTTGTGGTTTCTGCTCACAGAACAAACACTGTTTGAAATACCTGCTGAATTGGAAATGTTGATGAACAAGGAAACCCAGAGTGTATTCCAAACCAGAGAAAAGGAAGAGGTACATGAAGTACACTAAGCCAAGGGTCTTGAGGTCTGTGAAGGTAATAACATAGTATTTATAAAAGCTGGCATGCAGCGTCAGTCCAGGAGAATATATGTACAACCATTCCTAGGCAAAAGTATGATAGCTGGGACCCTACGAAACCTACGCTAGTTGCACAACGTGCGTCAGAATTAATGAAGGGAAGTCCACTTGAACTGCTCCCAGCTGCTGGGGCTGCTTTTTTCAAAGTGTGCTGGTGGCCGGGAAGGGTTTTAGAAGGCCCTAGTGTGATCAGAGCGGCAGGAATTGGATCCCCCCTTTCCCTCTTTTTCTGTTTTCCTCTGCCTGTTTTCAAACAGTGGGGGAGCCGGGGCTCTGGGAGGGCAGGACGTGTGAGCCGTAGACCATCTCCTCCCTCCCAGCTGCATCTCTCACTCGCTGCACGGTCTCGCGCACATCTTCCCTTCATGAATCTCACCCACGGTGCACAACCAGCATGGGGTCCCAGTTATCATACTTTTGCCCATCCCTATATACACTGATCGTATAATGCAGTTTATACATATCTGCTATATATTCTAACACTTTCCTAATTCTTGCTCAMGCTTTCTGTAATTTATGAGAATTCATAAACCATCAAACAGCGCAATGAGTCGCCGACTTAGGCTGAGATATTAGCGGTATACAAGCGTATAAATAAATAAAATAAATAAATAAATAAATWAATATAAACCCACTCCTCTCCTCTTTGTTTACTTTCAGTGATTTAGAATAAATTCTCAGGTGCAGTAATTGCAGTTAATGCTAACCAAGTTCTTTCCTAACCCAGCATTCAAACCCCATTTTTGTGGATAATATAGTTAGATGTCAGCCTGCAGCTGGGATTCAACACACAGCCAGGAATCCTAGTCACTTCACTTCCTTTATTGTTGGCTGAGCTGAAAAGATCTGTAGTCTACACTGTTSWAGCCATTTCCTCTCCTTTCAATGTGCCGCAAAGCCACGTGGTCATTTTKGGAGAGGATGTCCACTTGCAGTGGCAGCCCATCTATCTCCTTTACAGGGTGTTCAGCCCACTAGCTACTTCTGCTCCAGAGAAAGAAAGAAAGAAAGAAAGAAAGAAAGAAAGAAAGAAAGAAAGAAAGAAAGAAAGAAAGAAAGAAAGACAGAAAGAATACATTTTGGGGGCAGCTGACATATTATATCCTGACTTAGTAGTTTTAGATATTGTATTTTGCCTATGAGTTTTTTTCTTCTTTACTTGGAAAGAACACTTTACCTGTCAGTTTCTCTTTGAAAGAATAGTTGTGTCTGCATGTCTATGTTTGATCTTGTGCAGTAATTGGTTTGTTGGTTTTTGAAGGGTAGTTTTGTAGCTTTGCTAGGGCAGGGGCAGTTCATAATATTAATAGTATTCCTTCTTTCTGGTGCATTTTACTTCTAAAGAGCCTCATTTTTAATTTAATTCTGAAAAATTACTCTACTTCATAAACAAATTTTCATGGATTTTTCAGAAGGTATATTAAATTTTCTACGTTTTCCCACTCTTTCCACCATCTTTTAGTTACCAAAAATCGATTAAGGACATATTGACAAAACACTTGCACTAGATGAGACCCCTTGCTTTTTTTTTTTACTGTTAATGCTTAGAAGAGGTGAGAGAACAAACTATGGCATAAAGCATACAAAATATTATTATTCTGAAAACATGTGCCTTAAAAATTGGAGAATTTAAACTGATTATCTCACTCTAAGTAAGAGTAAAATACAGGCTATCTTCCACTGTATAGAAAAGTAATAGAAAAAGGCACCACAAAATAAAACAGGATTCTAAGGGCCCTTCCAGACAGGCCCTATATCCCAGGATTTGATCCTAGGTTTTCTGTTTATCTGGCAGTACAGACTCATATAATCCAGTTTAAAGCAGAAAACCTGGGATCAGATCCTGGATATAAGGCTTCTCTGGAAAGGCCCTGAAACTGTCAAGCAATTTCAAACAAAAAGAAAAATTAAAGACTTGCTCTGTCTGGAATGTGGTTCCATTCTTTGGTTTACTGCAGAAAACTGAAACAAGGCCAAAGGACTGATCAAGTGAGCAGCTGACTGAAAACCAGACATCACGGAGGACACCTGAAAGAGAAGAAAAATACCCCAGAGCTGAAGGAATCTTTCTCCCACTTGCTTACCCAAAAAAACTTATTATCACTCCAATCCTCAGGTTTAGTTTTGGATGTTTATTTTTTTTAAGTCATGGAGTCACTTCTGGGATATTTTTTGTCCATATAGGAAATATTCTCTGCTGGTTCTCTCTTCCTCTGCTTATCACAATGTATGGCTTATTTAATAACCAAACTGGGCTTCTCATGGTGTAAAATTCTGCCTATGTTAGTACGTATCTCCCTTCAGAGGACGTCATTGCAAATCATCACATCCCTCTGCCATATTTTCCTGCAAACTGCCAGAATAAACATCTACCTTTGAACTCAAACAGCTGTTCATTAATTGTTAGGGTCATCCATGCATCTATTGTATTCAAACTGCTCAGCTACTCCAGCCCACATAGGAAGTCAGTCAGGTTGTCAGTGATTCTTGTTTCCCCATGGTTGAACCATAACTAACTAGCAGATTTACAAAATCCCTTCAATTCATAGTTGCTCTGAAGGAGCAGCTCTTTAAAAATGGACAGATGTTATGCCCAAAGATTTGTGCAATTTCATGCTATACTCCTGCCAAGAGTCATGGGATAATGTATGCTTTCAGCACATTTTGACTTGAGCAAGGGTCTTTTCATTCTAAACCCCAAATAAACACTGCCTCTGTTTCACAGACTATGTGGCAAAAAAAGAGTTTCTGGAGGGATGGTTTCAAAGCTTTTTGGCTTCGTTCTATCAGTTTCATTCTCACTTTGGTTCTGGATGTTCCTGAACTGGAAGATCCCATATCTCTGCCTGCATCACATCCATAACATTGGGCTGGGCTTTAGCACAGCAGGTTAACAGCCAGCTGCAGTAGATAATAATAATAATAATAATAATAATAATAATAATAATAATAACACTTTATTTGTACCCCGCTACCATCTCCCCAAGGGACTCGGTGCGGCTTACATGAGGCCGAGCCCAAATACAACAATACAAGCAATAATAACAACAATACAAGCAATTAAAATAAAAACATGGACAATAAAATAATGCAACATTAACAATAAAACCACACGATTAAAACTGTGGGAAGGCCAAATGTAAAATTAAAATTGGAAGTAATGCTGGAACATGGGCGAAAAAGTGATGGGGCGTTTGTGGAAAACATACAAGCAGACCTAAAAAATGTAAAGTGCTTTGGAGGACAAGGTGCTATGGAATCATTGTTCTGGGAAGGCACACTGGAACAACCATGTCTTCAAGCTCCTCCTAAAGACTGCCAGAGTTGGGGCCGGTCTGATAGCCTTAGGAAGTGAGTTCCAGAGTCGAGGGGCCATCACTGAAAAGGCCCTCTCTCTCATCCCCACCAATCGCGCCTGCAATGCAGGTGGGATTGCGAGCAGGGCCTCTCCAGATGATCGAAGAGATCGTGTGGGTTCGTATACAGAGATGCGGTCACGCAGGTAGGTGGGTTCCAAACCGTTCAGGGCTTTGTAGGTAAGAACCTGCACCTTGAATTGAGTTCGAAAAATGAATGGCAACCAGTGGAGCTCCTTGAACAGGAGGGTTGACAGCTCCCTGTAAGGAGCCCCAGTTAACAACCTGGCCACCACCTGTTGGACCATCTGGAATTTCCAGCCGTTTTCAAGGGCAGCCCCACGTAGAGTGCATTACAGTAATCCAGTCCAGAGGTGACTAAGGTATGGATCACCTTGGCCAGATCTGCCTTCCTGAGGTACGGTCGCAGTTGGCACACGAGTCTTAATTGTGCAAAGGCCCTCCTGGCCACCGCCGATGCCTGAGCCTCAAATGTAAGTGATGAATCCAGGAGGACATCCAAACTGCGGACCTGTGACTTCAGGGGGAGTGCAACTCCGTCCAGCACAGGCTGCCACCCTATACCACAATCTGGTTTACGATCGACCAGGAGGACCTCTGTCTTGTCGGGATTAATCTTCAGCTTGTTTGTCCTCATCCCATAGATCTTGCCAAACAAAAGGTTGACAGTTTGAAGCCAGAGTGAGGACCTGGCCTTTAGCCCAGCTTCTGCCTTCCTAGCAGTTTCCAAAACAGCAATGTGAGTAGATAAAGAGGTACTGCTTAAGCATGGAGGTATTTAAGACACCCATAAGGAAATGCCAGAAAAATGCCGGTGATTCAATCAAGGAGGAACTTTACGAACAAAGCTCTTTGGCAGGGAAAGTGGAGTAGGATTTAGAGAAGTAATGGGGCATCCTTGGATGTTTCTTTGTTCAGTTTCTAATCAAAATGCATGGCCTTCCAGGTATTTTGGACTCCAAGACCCAGAAGCCCTGGCCAGTTTGTTCAATGCTCATGAATTCTAGGAGTCAAAGTCCAAAACACCAGGAGGAACAAAGGTTGAAGAACTGAAGGAGGAAGTGGACATTGTCTCTTATTTCCAGGCAACTGCATTATAAATGTTTTCAGAAAATGTTACCCGTTGTTCTTTTGACAGCGTCTCTGGCAACAGCATGAAGATGAAAGCCAATTCAGTAACTGCAAACATGACAGCAAAGGTTGCAGCCTTAACATAGAAGATCTCTCCTTTCTCTTTCTCCATAGCAAGATATGCTCCAAGAGTTGGACCAAAAGTAAAACCCAAGGAGAACGCCACACCAATCATTGCCTAGGAAAACATAGCATAATATTTATTAAAATGTCTAACCAGCTTTTGAATTATAAACAAATTTACTGATGCACTAAATTTCCAATGAATCACTTGATGCAAGGCTAGCTATCATTATAAATTTGGTTTTGTTGATCAAGCTTAATGTTGTGTTGGCTTCAATGCAGGGTACATGCTAATCACGGCTGAAATGTATTTCAAAATGTTTCAAGTCAGATGATGAATATGTGACCCAACAAATTTTACTGGATTGCAACTCCTATCAACCTTAGCCAGCATAGCCATTGATGGGTATTACTGGTGTGCTGTAAGATGTACTGATAGAATGTCTTATTGTCTCCCTCTCTCTCCTTTTCCTCTCCGCTACCAATACTCCACATATCAATGGTTGTCATTTACCCTGCACCACTTTTATTTTTCTACCTTAATTATTGGAGATATTATGCTGCACAAATTAACTGTAATTGTACAAATATTTATTTTTAATTTTCAAAAATTAAATTATCTGATAATCAAATATGTTTCTAAGTCCCCTTATCACTTAAAGGTATCAAATTTTGGGACATTCAGTCCATCCCTTTCAAATGTCGTTATTGCAAGTTTGAAGGGACATACAGACACACATCTGAGTAAATGAGCACTTGCTAAGCAAGGCATTGCTATCTCTGGATTGCTGTGAGTTTTCTGGGCTGTATGGACAAATTCCAGAAGCATTTCTTCATCAGCTTGATGTATACATCAAAGGAACCACTGACCAAATAGGAAAGCTGATGAAGAAACACAACCTACAAACTATTTATAGACCCACTAAGAAAATTCAACAAATGCTATGTTCAGCAAAGGACAAGAGGGATCCTCTCACCTCTGCAGGAGTATACTGTACCCTATGCAGCTGTGAAGAAGTCTACATAGGGACCACCAAACGCATCATTGCCCAAACATGAATCAAGAAACATGAAAGGCACTAAAGACTAACTTAACCAGAGAAGTCAGCCATAGCAGAGCACCCAGTGAACCAACCTGGACGCAGCATGTTATATGAGAACACAGAAATGCTGGACCACTCTAACAACCACCGTGTCAGACTACACAGAGAAGCCACTGAAATCCATACACATGTGGACAATTTCAACAGAAAGAAAACCAAGAAAATGAACAAAATCTGGTTACCAGTATTAAAATAATATAAAATAAGGGCAGTAACTAAAAGAACAACACTCAAAAAGAGGGGAATTCAAGACAGGAAACAATCAGGGCCAGCTAACAACTCCCAACAAAGGATTCCCCCCAGACAGGAAGCAGCCAGGCTTTGAAGCTGCAAGGCCATTAAATGCTAATCAAGATGGCCAATTGCAACATTTACACTTGCCTCAAGCAGACAAGAGTTCTTTCTCCCACCCTGGACATTCCACAGTTATATAAACCTCACTTACCTAGTTTCCAACAGACCTCAGAACCTCTGAGGATGCCTATCATAGATGTGGGTGAAATGTCAGGAGAGAATGCTTCTGGAACATGGCCATACAGCCAAGATAACTCACAGCAACCCAGTGATTCTGGCCATGAAAGCCTTTGAGAACATATTGCTATCTCTCCAACCCCTTTTTTCGCTTATGCTTTTAGTTCAAATTCATTTTCGCTGCAACAAACCATATCAAAGCCAAAATGTTGCAAGCTGCACTTTCATAGCTTTCACAGTTATGCAGCAGCAATTTCTGGGAAGATCAAGAATAATTTTGATGAACTGTATGTTTTTAGACAGCAGGTGCAGACTTTACACAAGGAGAGTGCCTTTTTCTGTCTTTGGGCGATGAAATGTGCTCCTTGTATCAGAGTATGGGCTGCTAGCAATTTATGAGATTGTAAATGCTCAATTAAAAATAAAAGATAATATCTAGTACACTCCTTAATATATCCAATTGTGACAAGTTGATTAGAATCTTTTGGAGTTTTTAGTCTTTAAATCCCGAATCTTTGAATATTGGAAAATTTGTCTTATATATCATACACTGTTAATTTTGCTTTTTATCTTCTGGGAAAAGAAAGAATAATAACTAACTTACTTAGATAATGTTAATTCTGGCTAAGTTGGGTCAGTTATGGAAAATAATGAAATGTGAATCAATGATCTTAGAGCTAGTTGTAATTTGCGAACTAGTCACTGCACAAACAGCAGAATATCACAGGTTATTGAAAACACTGAGGCTTGGGGGTTTCTTAGAGCCCTTCCACACAGCCATATAACCCAGAATATCATAGCAGAAAATTCCACAATATCTGCTTTGAATTGGGTTATCTGAGTCCACACTGCCATATATTCCAGTTCAAAGCAGATAATGTGGGATTTTATTCACCTGTGTGGAAGGGGCTCAAGTAACCAAAAAAGAACGCAACTTATCTATACAATCATGTTTGCATAATAGTAAGTATAACTAGAACACTATAACAGATGCATAGAAATAACTTATCATACTCATTAAGGATAAAAAGTTCCTCTCATATCCATTACCGATTCTCCTATTGGCTAGAAAATATGTTTTTTGGCCCAGAGCAGGCTAAAACTGATGCAATCTTGCTGGACTATTTGATGATAATGGTAAACAGCCAAGTTCATGTCAATTCATCTTATCTAAGCCCACTCATCCTTGTGAAAGTATACAACTGCATTGTTTGCTTAGAGCAAATAATAAACTTCCACTCTGCAAATTAAAAACTAAAAGGCAGATAACTTCAAAGGCTCAAAGACTCACCATGCCTTTGCTTCGAGCTTTCGGATTTTGCAAATCAGCGATTATGGCAGTGGAGAGACTGACATTCCCTTTGCTTATTCCACCAATTACTCTAGAGAAAAGAAACAGCTCAAAGCTTCTTGAAATGACCCACAGAGAATACGATGCAATCAGACCAATCTACAAATGGAAGAAGAAGAAACATTATTTGTTACCTGTCTCTCCTCATGGCTCAAAATGGAGTACAACATGATTAAAATACATTCGACAGTACAACAGAAGACTATTAAAATGAAAACATTAAGAAACACAGAACAAAGATGAAAACACCAATATTAATCAAATGTACATTTAAAATTCATAGTTCAAAACTGACTGGGTAGGCTTGCCAGAAGATATATGTTTAAT